CTAGTTTTTGACCGGAGATGACCCAACTTCGACTTGACCTAGATATCATTAAAACAACCTTCCTGACAAATTTCCAGAATATTTAGATGAAAACTGCAGCCCCTAATGTGTTAACAAGCTTTTCTATTTTTAGCTCCTGTGACCTAGTTTTTGACCGGAGATGACCCAACTTCGAACTTGACCTAGATATCATTAAAACAACCTTCCTGACAAATTTCCAGAATATTTGGATGAAAACTGCAGCCACTAGAGTGTTAACAAGCTTTTTCTATTTTTAGCTCCTGTGACCTAGTTTTTGACCTGAGATGACCCATCTTCGAACTTAACTTAGATATCATCTGAACAACCTTCCTGACAAATTTCCAGAATATTTGGATCAAAACTGCAGCCCCTAGAGTGTTAACAAGCTTTTTCTATTTTTAGCTCCTGTGACCTAGTTTTTGACCGGAGATGACCCATCTGCGAACTTGACCTAGATATCATCAAAACAACCTTCCTGACAAATTTCCAGAATATTTGGATGAAAACTGCGGCCACTAGAGTGTTAACAAGCTTTTTCTATTTTTAGCTCCTGTGACCTAGTTTTTGACCTGAGATGACCCATCTTCAAACTTGACCTAGATATCATCAAAACAACCTTCCTGACAAATTTCCAGAGTATATGGATGAAAACTGCAGCCTCTAGAGTGTTAACAAGTTTTTTCTACTTTTAGCTCCTGTGACCTAGTTTTTGACCCGAGATAACCCATCTTCGAACTCGATCTGTATTTCATTGAGACAAACATTCTGACAAAGTTTGATGATGATCCAATCAAAACTGTGACTGCTAGACTGTTAACAACCCAATTGTTGACGACGCACGACGCACAACGCACGACACACGACGACGGACGCCGGACATAGCCCCATCACTATACCTCATCTTGACCACTTCGTGGTCAGGTGAGCTAAAAAGGCAGTAAATCCAAAGTTATGGAGTAAAAGAGTTTTGGTTCTTAGACACTCAACATTGGCAATATGATCTATCAATATATAAAGAAAAATACCTTCTATCTTTTCGAGCTATGCCCTATACAAAAATAATTATAGACAAGAACGTTATGAAAGTTATTGTTCTTGTACACTGCATTCAATCAAATCATTCTATCTCTGAAATTTTAAATTTATACATTTTATACTTTTGCAGTTTTACCCTGAAGAATAAAGTTGGAAAATTTGTAAAGAGTAAATACTAAAAAATAATACCCTTGAAAGTTATAACTCTCATGCTGAACTATTCTTCTTTATATCTATCCATTGATAACGTTTAAAGAAAGCGTATGCCATTAACAAGAAAACAATGGGAAGATGGACAAAGCCAAATCTAAATGACATTGTATATTCCAAAGTCTTTAACGAGGAATAATAAACGATGGTAAAAAAATGAAATCGTTTTGAATATCAATATCTACACGATGATCCACATGTAGCTATTAGATAATATTTTATATAAAAAAGAAAATACAACAAGAGGGCCATGATGGCCCTGAAATCGCTCACCTGTATATAGGCCCCCGGGCGAGGCCAATTTTAACCCAGGGGCTTTTATTTGAACAAACTTGGTAGAAACCTATTTGAAGATGTTTCATGATAAATATCTAAGCTCTAGCTCTAAGAAGATTTTTTAAGTTTTTACTATACACATATAAGGAAAAACAATGACCTACCCCTTTTGATCTTTTTGGCCATTTTTTGTCACACAATGCTTAAAAAAAGACACACAAGTAACAAAAGGGTCATGATGGCCCTGAGGTCGCTCACCTGTATAAAGGCATCCGGAGCGGGGCCAGTTTAAACCCCAGGGCTTTTATTTGAACAAACTTGGAAGACACCCATTAGAAGATGTTAAGTTTTTACTACACATATATAATGAAAAGCAACAATCTACCCCCTCCTTCCGCCCCCCCCCCCCCTTGGCAGGGCCAATTTTAACCCAAGGGCTTTTATTTGAACAAACTTGGTAGACACCCATAAGAAGATGTTTCATGCTAAACATCTAAGCTCTAGCTCATTGGGTTTTTTTTAAAGAAGATTTTTTAAGTTTTTACTATACACATATAGTTAAAACCAATGACACCCCTGGGGCGGGGCCAATTTTGACCCCAGGGCTTTTATTTGAACAAACTTTGTAGAAAATTACTAGAAGATGTTTCATGCTTAATATCTAAACTCTAGCTATTTGGGTTTTTTCATAGAGGATTTTTAAGTTTTTGCTATACAAATATAAGGCAAATCAATAACACCCAGGGCGGGGCCAATTTTGACCCAAGGGCTTTTATTTTAACAAACTTTGTAGACACTCACTAGAAGATGTTTCATGCTTAATATCTAAACTCCAGCTATTTGGGTTTTTCAAAGAAGATTTTTAAGTTTTTGCTATATACATATAAGGAAAATCAATGACCCCCGGGGCGGGGCCAATTTTGACCCCAGGGCTTTTATTTGAACAAACTTTGTAGACACCATTTAGAACATGTTTCATGCTAAATATCTTAGCTCTAGCTCTTTGAGTTCTTTAAAAGAAGATTTTTTAAGTTTTTACTATATGCATATAGGGAAAATCAATGACCCCCTGGGGCCGGGCCAATTTTGACCCCAGGGCTTTTATTTGAACAAACTTGGTAGACACTCACTAGAAGATGTTTCATGCTAAATATCTTAGCTCTAGCTCGTTGGGTTCTTTAAAAGAAGATATTTTAAGTTTTTACTATATGCATATAGGGAAAATCAAAGACCCCCTGGGGCGGGGCCAATTTTGACCCCAGGGCTTTAATTTGAACAAACTTGGTATACTCTTATTAGAAGATGTTTCATGCCAAATATCTAAGCTCTAGCTCTTGGGGTTTTTTAAGAGAAGATATTTTAAGTTTTTTCTTTCGGTTGCCATGGCAACCAGAGTTCTCCATGGAATTAAATTCTTTGAACAATTTTTAAAGGTGACCACCAAAGGAACATTCCTGTGAAGTTTGGATGAAATTGGCTTAGTGGTTAATGAGGAGATGTCATTTAAAGTAAAAGTTTACGGACGGACGGACGCTGGACGGACGGACGCCGGACGAAAAGCGATCACAAAAGCTCACCCTGTCACTTTGTGACAGGTGAGCTAAAAACACCATACCGTAAATATTGCCATTAAAAGATAATTCAAATCTGTCATATTATATGCCTTTGGATAGTATTACAGGATCAATTATTTTTCTTCTAAATGTACAAAACAAATGAAAAAAGCTTGAAGATGTAAACGTTAGAGACAAGAACATTGAGACAACAGCAGAAAAAAAGACACATAACTACCCTTAAAATCTTAATATACTGTAAATATAAGAAGACAAATGTAACTATCATTAGTTAAGTTTTGCTTCTTATTCTCATTCTCATTCATGGTTTCTTTGCATCCAGTATTACTTTAACTTTTTCTCCGGAAGAATGCATTCCAACCGCAGCAAAAAGCTGTAAATTTCGATTTAATCGAAGTACCTTTTCTCCAACCTGTAGAAAAAGAACATAGAAAAATAAGCTAGGTTTATGACGAATACAAAGCTAGTTAATCAACAAGAAGAACAACAACAAAACAGAACAAGAACCGGTTGAACCGGGTGGTGCTCTCCGAGTAGGTTTTGGACACAGAAAAGAATACCTCTTGAAGTGTCAGAATTATGTCCCTGACAAAGTTCAAAGTGTAAAAATGAACAAATGACAATATCTCCAAAATTAAGCAAGGCAGAGTTAATGTTCTTTTGCGCTGCACTTCTATTTAATAATATCTAACTACCTACAAACCTCTTATGGTTTCAGAGCTATGTCTCGGACACAGTTCAAAGTGAAAAAAAAATACCACAGGGCAATAACTCGAAAATTACGCAAGGCAGAGTTACGGCTCTTTTGCACTGCACTTATATTCAATGAGATCTATCTACCTATACATTTTCATGTTAATATCTTTTATAATTTAAGAGTTATGTCCCGGACAAGGTCCAAAGTGTAAAATGAACAAAGGGCGATAATTCCAAAATTAGACAAGGCATAGTTAAGGTTCTTTTGCATTGCACTTCTTTCAAATAAGCTCTATCTACCTACAAAGTTTCATGTTGATATATCATATAGTTTTAAAGCTATGTCCGGGACAAAGTTCAAAGTGTAAATATGAACAAAGAGAAATAACTCCCAAATTAGGCAAAGCAGAGTTATGGTCTTAAAGCACTGTGCTTCCACTTAAAGAGATCTATCTACCTACAAAGTTTCATGTTGATATCTCTTATAGTTTTAAAGTTATGTCCCCCACAAAGTTCAAAGTGCAAAAATAAACAAAGGACAATAACACCAAAATTAGGCAAGATAGTGTTATGCTTCTTAAGCATTGCATTTCTACACAATGAGATATATCTACCTAGAAACTGTCATGTTGATATCTCTTATAGTTTTAGAGTTATGTTTCGGACAAAGTTCAAAGTGTAAAAATAAATCCAAAATTAGGCAAGGCAGTGTAACGGTTCTTGTGCACTGCACATCTACTCAATGAAATCTATCTACCTACAAAGTTTTATGTTGATATCTTAATCTGTAATTGTTTCAAAGTTATGTCCCGGACAAGAATAGCCGACGGACGGACAGACAGACGGACGGACGGACAAAGCAGCGACTATATGCTCACCCTTTGGGGAGCATAATGATATTACATTTTAAATTCAGACCATGCTTATTGCAAATATATAGACAGCACTAAGTCTTACTATAACAAAGTGATTATCTTTATAACATAAAAAGTCATAATGTGACTGCAGTTACCTACCTTTTTGCCGTTCCTGGTAAAAACAGCTGTAACGGGAGTTACATCCATCAAACTAAATACACCTCGGTCTGCATAACTAAAATGTAATTCATTTCATTCTGGTATTAATATATTTGCATTTTGAATTGATATTTCGACTGCTCCTAACGTGAACGCCTTTTTACTGTCAAATTAATTCTCCTATTGTGCTACTCTTGGAGAGTATCCATCGTTTTCAACACTTTGAAATAACAGTTACGAATCAAGGGACGTACACCTTTTTCAAATTCAATTGTCTCTCATGAACATACCCTAGAATTGTCACTTTTAAAACGTACTGTTGTCGAGGAATCCCCACAAGATTTTTTTAATTATAAGATATTTAAAGATTTTTTAAGTTTTTACTATATGCATATAGGAAAATCAATGACCCCCAGGGCGGGGCCAATTTTGACCCCAGAGCTTTTATTTGAACAAACTTGGTAGACACTCATTAGAAGATGTTTCACACTAAATATCTTAGCTCTAGCTCTTTGGGTTCTTTAAAAGAAGATTTTTTAAGTTTTTACTTTATGCATATAGGGAAAATCAATGACCCCCCTGGGGCGGGGCCAATTTTGACCCCAGGGCTTTTATTTGTAATGAATAAAATTGGTAGACACTCAATAGCAGATGTTTCATGCCAAATATCTAAGCTCTAGCTCTTTGGGTTTTTTAAAAAAAGATATTTAAAGTTTTTTCTTTCGGTTGCCATGGCATCCAGAGTTCTGCATGGAATGGAATTCTTTGAACAACTTTGTTAAGACTTCGCACAAGGAACATCCCTGTGAAGTTTCATTATGATCTGCCTTATGGTTTCAGAGGAGATGTCGTTTTAAAAGAGTGAACGGACAACGGACGACGTACGACGGACGACGGACGAAGAGTGATCCTAATAGCTCACCCTGAGCATATGCTCAGGTGAGCTAAAACACACTAAAATTGCTAAAGGTATGGTTCAATTAACCGAGGATACTCCTTTTGATTTCAGACTGGATTTTCTAGTGTTTGCACAAGTGCTGAAACACGAAAGGTGGTGGTGGATTGATTGAGATACGTAAAATGAGCCGTATGCTCTCAAGTCGCTACCTGTGACTAAAATGAGTATGCAAATGACACCATTCCGCCGTTTTGTTTAAAGTTTTATTGATAGATTACGATAAGATAAGGTGTTCTCGTTATTTCTTTTCAGACTATAAACTAGCTGCGTTGTTAGAGACTTGAATACCTGGCTGTCTATAAAAATCAAGCGGAAATTAAAACAAAATGATCGGAATTAATAATCGGGTATGTTCAAGTAACAAATGTAAAACTCCTCTTTTAGGATAAATGTTTCCAGTCTTTAAATTAAAACAAACCTACATATAAATTCTTGCACAGATATTCTTTTACCTAATGACGGTATTAAATAAATAGCAGCCAATCATGTCACCAACGAGGTATTTTGGTCCAAATCGTTTGCCCTGGCCACATCCGTGGTAAAGACTGAAAGATACAACAGACCAAACATTCTTATCATTATAAACATACAATAGAATATAAACCCGCAAAAACTGCACAATTGCAGATGTTGAGCCTATTTATGGCGGGTAGTGGCCTATGAATCTTCATTGGGACACTTCGGTGCAATGCCGAAAAATCTAGGTATAGTCCTTAAGTTAAGGATTGCGCGAGCACAGTTTGCGGAGTAAAACAAAAAGGTCAGAGATTATGAGGCATTGATCAGCTTTTCGCGACATATATGTAAAAGCAACATATTATTTCTAACGGCAACAAAAGGACGCTGGCACTGCTTTTATTTATTACATATAGAGGTACTGCATATCAATGCAAAATTGTGTGTTACTATATGCTAAAATTGTAAATAGATGTCAAAAGAATATGTCCTCAAGTAAACAGGGATAAAGACGCGTTAAAACAAGGCAATATCCTATATACATTGATGAATTTACATTCGTTTATGTTAAAAAATCCTACACTGTTACAATGAGATCAAATGTCTTACTGGCCATCATCCGCATGATATCCTATTGAGTTCCTTCCCCATCCCAGCGGCATATGGTGTGGGTAATTTCTTGGTACCAAACCTATAGCTTATATAATAAACAGATGTAAAACAAATCGTTATGGGTTTTCTGCATTATCATTTTCCGGTGAAATATCCAAAGGTCATTTTTACCTATTTTTTTACATTAATATTTTGGAAAAAGAGAATACTTGCATGTGAAATTATTAATTACATTTGATCGTTTTACACGTCAACTTCGAGATCTAAAGATTTTTTCGATTTAAAGCACGAAAAGCAAACAGTGTTTATCATCTTTATTTAATGTTAAAGCGAGCACTAAAATATTTTTTTCTAGCTAATCTGTTACTTTTCTTTGTAACAGAGGATTATGCACATAAATTCATATATTTATTTATTTATCTTCATGTTACCACGTCTAGTGTTTATAAAAAGTTGAAAATAGATAAGGAATACAGTTTCTGTATGATATTAAAGGCCAATAATTATGGTCAAATCCTATAAAACTTATATATTTTATAAACATATAAAATAATTTATAACATTGTTGTACTTTTCGTGAATTGAATTCCCTTCCACTGATATGCTATTTTAGGAATTACCATTAGCCAATCAGAGAGTACAATTTTATCACATTACTTTCTTAACCAATCAAGATCCGGCAACTTCATTCTTAGCCATTATTTTGCGAAGGATAACACGCTTATTCATTTTGTTTAACCGCCGCCTCCCTTTTCCTCCACCTCTTATTTCGTTTACTCTCTTTTTGGCTGTTGGTTTTTATTATTTCTTATATTATTGACACCACTTGTTTTTATTACCTCTTATAATTTTGACACCACTTTTCTTTGTTGTTAAGGTATATATATGAACTTGTTAAATTTTTAGATATAGACAATTATGTTATAAGTACTTATATTTACTTGTTTAAAGGGCGGTTTTCGTCGCCCAGATATGGAAAAATATGTTATATGTAGTTATATTTACTTGTTTGTAGTAGTTATATTTACTTGTTTAAACTTTCATGGTAAATAAATAAATTTGCCGTAGTTATATTTACTTGTTTAAACTTTCAAGGCAAATAAATAAATTTGCCCTTTTTCAATCTATAACCTTGTTACTTTTCTATTTTCTCATACGTAGTACACAGGGCCGAAGTTTGATTGTAAAACAGATGAGATAAATTCTCTTACCAATTGTTCCTGGCCGGCCTAAACTTAAAATCTCAATTTCGAAATATTTTCCATGCACCATTTCATTCTTGTCAACATACTGTCCAACATGTCCGTCTCCATTGTCCACATAACTGCAATAATATTCGTTTTATAATACTTTAATGCGAAAAACAATTTACAATGCAGATAATGCAGATAACGCATGGTGCTAAGTATAATGATATCACAGTATACATAACGCAAAAGGACAAGGAGCATTTGATAAACTATGATTTTAATGTTTTGTTTTTCATGATTACTTTTATATATTTGTATCTTATATAGAATGTCTCATAATTTAATTGATGCGTTCTGTGTTCCAAATATTATGATTTGATTATAACTATATAACTAATTTTCCGGAGAGATACCGGCATTTCATTTCTTTATAGAAATATATATCTACTCAATTAATTTATATGATACCTGAGATATTCTCCATCCACTTTTATATTTCTACATATCAACTGCCTGTCAAGCAACGGTTGTGGCTCAGCCTTCAAAATCATGATATTTATTTAATTCAATTAAGTTGTGGTGTAATCTATTTAAAAACAAACATTTGTTCTATGATATAAAACTCACCCTTTTGCAATTGCAGGTTCATGTAGGTATATGCTTAAATATACCCATATACCTTAATTAGTTTTCAGATTTTTTTTACATGCATTTAACAATAAACCTTAAGATTATTAACATAATATCAAGATGTATTCGAGTTATTTAATGGTAAAATTTAATTTATGTTTCAGAGAAAGTAACTAAGATATCTTCTTAACTGTAACAAGGACGACATAATGTCGCAATGCACGCCCGTCACAGAAGCTTTTGACAGTGATCTGGGCATTTAAGATATGCATAAAGGAGATATTCTCTGGGCAATATCCGGAAAATATGTGGTTATATTATGATCTATAGTGATTTTTTTATCTGAGCTTTGACCTTGACCTTGGCCGCAGGGACCTAAATATTTACACGCTACACTCCGCCTCACAAAAGTGAACATTTGTGCCAAGAACATGTATGAAGTTTGATTAAAATCCCTCCGTATGTGTAGCAGATATGCTCTGGACAATCTCTACATTTTATCATCTTTAGTGACCTTGTCAATCATCTTAAGTGACCTTGACCTTGCATATATTTACCTTATATTTACCTAAATTACATGTATCACACCAGTTGTCATGATAATGGCCATTTGTGTTTCAATCCCTCAATAAATGATAATAAAATTGTCCCAATACACATTTTCACATTTTTATCTGAACTTTGACCCCTAAGTGTGACCTTGACCTTGGCCGCAGGGACCTAGATTTTGCACGCAACACTTTGCCTTACAATAGTGAACATTTGTGCCAAATTATATTGAAATATCTCTATTCATGTAGAAATTATGCAACGGACAAGCGTTTTCATATGACTTCTAAGTGGGACCTTGACCTTTGACCAAGAGGCCTGGTTCATGCGAGCGACACGGTTTCTTATAGTGATGAACACTTGTATTAAGTTACATTAGAATCCCTTCATTTGTAGTAGAAGATATGCATTGGACTAAAATTTCTACATTATATCATCTTTAGTGACCTTGACATTCATCTCTAGTGACCTTGCATATATTTACCTTAATTACATGTTTCACACCAGTAGTCATGATAATGGCTGTTTGTGTTTCAATCCCTCAATAAATGATGATAAAATTGTCCGAATACAGATTTTCATATTTTTATCTGAACTTTAACCCCTATGTGTGACCTTGACCGTTGGGATCAAGATTTTACACGCGACACTTTGCCTTACAATAGTGAACATTTGCGCCAAGTTATATTAAAATCCCTCTATGCATGTAGAGGTTTTGCTCCGGACAAGTATTTTTCAATCACCTCTAAGTGTGACCTTGACCTTTGACCTAGGGGCCTGGTTCATGCGCGCGACACGGTTTCTTATAGTGCTTAACATTTCTATGAATATTCATTAAAATTCATCCATTGGTGTTGGAGATATGCTCCGGACAAAAAATAGGACGCCGATCGCCCAGCCACCCACCCGCCTGCAGGGGGGGGGGGGGGGGGGGCTATAATACGACCCGTTTTTCAAACTGGCGTATACAAACTTTAAGAAAAAAATACTTTGCACAATGATGATCTTTGACTGCTCTGATTAGATTTTGATACATTCCTTCGTTTACTGTGCTTCAAAGTAGCGGTCTAAACAAATAGGTGTAGATTGACATTTCTTCGCACTAAATGTATGACAGGAAGCATTTTTCATTGACTCACGGTATGACAAAACCTGGCCATGGTAACCCCGCATCACTTACTGGAAACGTTACATTAAATCCTGTTATGGTGTTTGGATGCTGGTTTCCTTTTGTCTCGATGCCATTGACATGATATTTGGTAACACTTGACGAAAGGCAATCAAAGTTTAAAACGTGTATTTGGAAAGGTCGATTCACAAATTTTCTTGATAGCCAGAAGACTGTGTGTTTAAATTAAGTGATCACAATAACTCAACTTACCAAGTTCTTCTCTGGTGAGCTTTAACAGATACTAACAATATATTATACGAACTCACCTTACTTGCTGAAATATCAAAAGACTTCATCGATTTTAAAACTTGATCTTCTTTTATCTCTTCATCATCTGAAATGTGATTTTTCAAAAGTAAAACAATATCAGAAGGTAACAACTGAAGTGGTTAGATACTTTCTCTAACAGAAAATTATATATTCATGTGTATAAATATGTACTTACTAAAATGAGGAACTGTAAGACCAAAAGTACTTAGCAAAATTTTAAAACGTTTTGTGCACTTAAAAAATAAATTAAAGGCTCTAACTGTTATACTATCATATACAATAACAACGAATTTAGGCAAGGGGGGTTCTTGAAGATAAAAAAAATAATTGATCCTTTCTCCGTTTGTAAAAGAGTCACATGTATGGTAAGAAAAAATCAACAATAAATCATATCTTAGACTAATAAAAATTTGTGAAAAATGACTTTAATACAATAAAAACAATCGGTGTACCTATAAAACATTTTTCTTTATAGTTTAATGCCACGATAATATAAAGATTTCAGCTCAAAATAGAGAAAAATAAATGCGCCTTAAACGACAAAATTAACACTGTTGCATGGCAACCTACCGTCCAGGCCCTAACATTAGCATACGCGAATTGAACATTTCAACAATAATTGAATAATGGTAAAATCTTTAATAAATAAGCATCCACAAATGTGTTAAGTATTAAATCAACAACAAATATGCTTACTTGATTATTTTTTTAAATTAAGCTTTATGAAAAAGTCAATTACTTTTGAAATATTACTCCTATTCTGTTAATCAGCAACATACTAATATTCCTTGTGGATATGTAAAAATCACAGTTTAAACATTAACAAGAAACATGGCAATGCCACGAAACCAGGTTTTCAATTATCACCATTGTAGATAAATATGTTGTAGTTGAAATACAAATACAAGCAACAAATAATGTAACTACAATGTATGTGCAATGTAAATCATGATTAATTTCTATTTTTAGTAACTGTAACCTTGACCCTAGGAGGCCAAGTGAGGTCTTCATAAAAATTTGCTTTACCACAAATTTCATTAAAATATCTTATTCCAAACAAGTTATTGACCGGAAACCTATTTTCTATTTTTAGTAACAGTGACCTGACTGGAAACAGATTTTCTATTTTTAGCAACAATGACCTTGACCTTGACTCTACAGGACCCAAAAGCAGGCAGATGAGCTGGCAGGCATGCAACAACCTAGATAGTTTCTGTTTTATAACTAAATAAAAATTGTTGTGATTAATAGGATATATTACACTAATAATTAAATTTTATGGAAAAACAATCTAAGGGCCATAATAAGGTAAAAGGTAAAAACTTATCCAATCATAAAACCCTGACAATACACAGCAGGGCACTTGAAGATAAAGCTAATCTGTGAAAATTTGAACAAAATCTTTTGAGAAATGTAGAAGCAATTGGGCAACAGAAGAAATTGTTCACTATATACTCTATATAAGGGCAAAAAAAGGGCCATAATTAGGTAAAAAATTATCCAATCACGAAAACCCAACAGTATGCATCAGGGCACTAGATGGCAAAGCTTCTGTGAAAGTTGAGAAATGTAGGAGGAGTTGCGCACAGAAGAAATTGTTCACTATATACTCTGTATAAGGAAAAAAAAACAAAGGGCCATAATTAGGTCAAAAATCATCCAATCACAAAACCCCAACAGTTTGCCCCAGGACACTTGATGACAAAGCTTCTGTGAAAGTTTGAACAAAATCCTTTGAGAAATGTAGGAGGAGTTGCGCACAGAAGAAATTGTTCAATATATATTCTTTAATGTTATCCAATCACAAAACCCTGACAATATGCACCAGGGCACTTGATTACAAAGCTTCTGTGAAAGTTTGGTCAAAATCCGTTGAGAAATGTAGGAGGAGTTGCGCACAGAAGACATTGTTTACGCACGCCCGCCCGCCCGCCGGCATACCTCAATCTAATAACCAGATTTTTCCTTCGGAAAACCTGGTTAATAAAAACATATAGAAGTATTTAGTGACACACTCATCGCATGAAATATAAGATATAAGAATTTTGAGATAAGTAGTAATAACATGCTAAATGTTTTAGAGTTACAATTCAGAAATTCTGCCATGCATCCAATACTTTTTTAAATTTAAATAAGATATAATGCATCTTAACATCCATAGGCAAGAATGAGCCAAATTTATGATTAAAAGTTAAAAGAAATCTACTTGAACCTGATACTGTATTCAAAAGATAAGACTTTTTGCCAGACCCCGTAATCTTCTAATGGCACGCCTTTTAATTGTAATTAAACATGTCAAGGTCTGATTGATATTTGTAAAGTCATGCATCGCTATGTATAAAACCGTTTTTAATTACCATAGAAAGTATATTTTCCTTTTACATCCTTTTTTCTGAAGGAGTCCCCAGTTGACCTATGCTTACTAAAGTGCTATATAGATTGGTATATATTAATAGGTTTGAGATAACTCGTCATCAAATTTTAAATACTTTAATGTTACAATTAAGTAATTCTGCCATGCATTGAAATAAATCAAGACATCAAGTCTTACAATTAGGTAATTCTGCCATGCATTGAAATAAATCAAGACATCAAGTCTTACAATTAGGTAATTCTGCCATGCATTGGTAATTCTGCCATGCATTGAAATAAATCAAGACATCAAGTCTTACAATTAGGTAATTCTGCCATGCATTGAAATAAATCAAGACATCAAGTCTTACAATTAGGTTATTCTGCCATGCATTGAAATAAATCAAGACATAAAGTCTTACAATTAGGTAATTCTGCCATGCATTGAAATAAATCAAGACATCAAGTCTTACAATTAATAGGTAATTCTGCCATGCATTGAAATAAATCAAGACATTAAGTCTATCTTAACATTCATTAGCAATAGTTACAATTAAAGTAAAAAGAAAAAAGCTTGACATAAAAGCTCCGATATCTGTACAGTATTCAAAATATATATCTTATATGACGAGGAAGATACTAGTAGTTCCATAGTGTACAATCTTTGAAAACAAATGACTTTTGCCAGACCCCGTAACTCTTTTAATGTCTCATTTTTTGTAATCAAACGTTTCAGGTCTGATTGATACTTTTAAAGCTATGTTACATATAAAATCGTTTTCAATCACCATAAATACATAGAAACATAATTTACCTTTTACATCCTTCACCTTGTATTTCTCTAGTTCCCCAAGTTGACCTATGCTTCCTAAAGTGCGAGATAGCTTGGTATCTCTTTTGAACTCGTAACATTCGATAATGTTTCTACTTTTGATGTCATCAAGCTGTATTCTCAGTTGATCAAGTTTCGGTTTCTTTGAAACTGAACAAACAAAGAGCTGACTTGGACTCTCAACTTTTGATTCTAATAAATCAGACATATCATTGAGATCATTAATCAAACTTTCAGTTTCGTCTGCTAACTTTTTCATACTGAAGTTATCTTTAGCCTTAATGCACTCGCCTTCCTTAAGCATACGATCTGATAAGTTGTTCACTTTTGAAATTATCTCTTCCCGGAACATGTTAACTTCCTGTATGAATTTTCCATTAATATCATCAATTTGAACTATATTGTTCTTAATTGAGGACAGCACATGCTCAGCTTCAATCTTGCATTTTTCCGGTCCTTTGGTTAAAGACTTGAACTCTGCTGTGTCTTTAATGTCAGTAATATAATCGACCTTACATGACCTATGACCTGTGACCATACAATCTCCGCAACCAACTTGCCCGTGCTGTGCACAATAAAACTTCACTGTTTCGTTCAAATGTAGCTCACATTTCTCAAAATCACTTGGATTTTCTCTCTGCGTTACTTCCTCATTACAATCAATTAAAGTGTGATCTCGATTTAGTTTCCATTTTTTGTGTGTTTCAAAACAACTGGAACACATATTCTCTTCACAGATCACACAAAATCCATCCGCTTGAGTAAATATGTCATTTTCTTCACAAGGTTTGCAAGAAAAATCATTTATTTCCCTTTTTCCTGGAACTTCCATATTTTCAAACAAAAATAAATCAATGAATTATAAGTGTTTAAAATGTATTCATTCCATTAGATAAAGACATGGAGGGCGACATCTAAAAAAGATAGAAAACACTTTAATACAAAGCACATACACGGCTTAAAGTAATAATATTGATTAACAACCTGTATAGTCGTTACAATCATAAAATGTAAGTATATATGTTCTTACACACTTAATACAATTATATCAGCTTTTCAAATATTAACGTGTAGAAAAGAAGGAAACGTATTTATTTTCATATGTTAAAACTTGCGACCATTATCCGGTGTCTGTAGCTAGTTTCAGAAAAGCATCGTCAATTGCTTATTTGTATATCGGTCAGTACATGAGTAAACCTTAAAATGTGAGAAATACGAAAAGTAATTGGATTTATCAAGAAATAAGAGCCGATAATTATTATTATGTTCAAAATTAAGTGCCTCTGCTCTACATTTAGTGTAAAAAGTGTTATATTTATTTACTGTATCATATTGTATATATTGCTATTATTAATAATAGCATACGGGCATTATAAATATAAAACAAAGTTAAAAATCTAAACATGCGCTACAAAATTCAATGTTCAACGGAACACTCTTTTTCAAATACAAATTCGAAATGCCCCTGATGTGCATATGGAGATGGAATAGAACAGAAGCAACCTAAGGTAACGACTGTCCCACAAGTATGTGCATGGTTTGTTGCAGACGCGGTAGACGGGCATGTTAGAAATTTGGCTGTTGCCAATAGGAGCATATAACATGATACCGCGTCAAAAGAATTTTAAATGAAAAAGTTAAAGGTGTACTGACGAACATAGACATTAGCATAAAAATGTCAAAATTAAAAACAAGAATGTCGAACGACACATATACCCTTTCTAGCCATTGACTCACATAATTGGTAATTTTATTACAGAAACTTGCCAAAAATGGGTACATGGAAGTGTTTAATTATGGAAAAATCAACGGAAACCATTTTGACATTTAAGGCCCATGTGACATTGACCTTTGACCACATGACCCCTAAATCAATACTTATGACCAATAACTAGGTGAAATATGAAGACTTTGTGATACATACTTTTCAAGATAATCAGCGGAAACCCTTTTGACATTTAAGGCCCCTGTGACATTGACCTTTGACCTAGTGACCCCAAAATCAATAGGGGTCATCTACTAGTTATGACCAATCACTATGTGAAATATGAAGACTTTGTGATGAATACTTTTCAAGATAATCAGCGGAAACAATTTTGACATTTTAAGGTCCCTGTGACCTTGACCTTTGACATAGTGACCCCAAAATCAATAGGGGTCATCTACTAGTGATGACCAATCACTATGTGAAATATGAAGACTTTGCAATACATACTTTTCAAGATAATCAGCGGAAACCATTTTGACAGTTAAGGACCCTGTGACCTTGACCTTTGACCTAGTGACCCCAAAATCTATAGGGGTCATCTACTAGTGATGACCAATCACTATGTGAAATATGAAGACTTTGTGATACATACTTTTCAAGATAATCAGCAGAAACCATTTTGACATTTAAGGCCCCTGTGACCTTGACCTTTGACCTAGTGACCCCAAAATCAATAGGGGTCATCTACTAGTTATGACCAATCACTATGTGAAATATGAAGACTTTGTGATAAATACTTTTCAAGATAATCAGCGGAAACCATGTGGTCTACCGACGGACAGACCGACAAACCAACGGAAAAGAGATAACTACGTTGTAGGGAGGTTAATTAATTCCAGTGGGAATTACTATTAATATCTCGTGTGATGACATTATCAAGTTCACTAGTTAAGATGTGCACATGTCACATCTGCCGCACTGATTTCTTTTTGAATTTCAATGTTTACTTTATTATGTCTTAATATATTTTATAATCTATTATGTTGTTTTTTTCATTATCTCGTGTGATGACATTATCAAGTTCACTAGTTAAGATGTGCACATGTCACATCTGCTGCACTGATTTCTTTTTGAATTTCAATGTTTACTTTATTATGTCTTAATATATTTTATAATCTATTATGTTGTTTTTTTCATTTGGCCGAAATTATTGCCAAATTTTAGATCACCATCACCCGATGGACATACATAAAAATGCAGAGTTAAACAATATCAGACAACAAGGGCAACATTGTCGCAATATACGCCCGTCCCAGAAGCTTTTGACAAAGATGTGGGCATTAACGATAAGCATATAGGTGATATTCTATGGGTTATATCCTGAACACATCTGGATATATTATTATCTCTAGTGATTTTTTTATCTGAATTTTGACCCCTATATGTTACCTTGACCTTGGTCGCAAGGACCTTAATTAAGCACTCTACGCCTCACAATAGTTTACTTTTGTGCCAAGTTATATTGAAATCCCTCTATGCATGTAGAAATTGTGCTCCAGACAAGCGTTTTTTCTATGACCTCTAAGAGTGACCTTGACCTATAACCTAGAGGCCTAGTTCATGTGCACGACACGGCTTCTCAAAGTGGTGAAAATTTGTATGAAGTTTCATTAGAATCCCTCCATGAATGTAGGAGATATGCTCTGGACAAGTCTTAATATTTTATCATCTTTAGTGACCTTGACCTTGCATATATTAACTTAAATTATTTGTTTCACAACAGTAGTCATGATAATGCTTTTTTCTGTTGTAATCCCTCAATAAATGATGACTAAATGGTCCCAATACACATTTTCAAATTTTTTTCTGAATTTTAACCACTATTTGTGACCTTGACCTTGGCCGCAGGGACCTAAATTTGCACGCCACACATTGCGCCTCACAATAGTGAACATTTGTGCCAAGTTATATTGAAATCCCTCTATGTATGTAGAAGTTTTGCTCCGGACAAGCGTTTTTCAATGACATCTAAGTGTGACCTTGACCTGTTTTTTGCGCGCGAAACAGCTTCTCCTAGTGGTTAATATTTCAATGAAGTTTCAATAAAACTCCTCCATGGGTGTAGGAGATAAGTGTTTTTTCGGCTTTTCCGTGTTTTTGACGTTTTCCGTTGAGTTGCCAAAAAACATTATTATAATGCGGACATTTTGATATAATGCTGACAATTGATAAATTTATTGATTAGAAGTGTGAAAAACAATTACTCTAGTAATTAAAATGGAATTTCTATTTTTTATTGGTTGTGGCATGTGTTTTTCGGCTTTTCAATGTTCGACGCAGACTCAGCGAACACTTTCATCACCGTATTTTATGATATATTATCGATTTAAAACTGATATTATTGAACTGATTTCATCAAATAAACACCAGAAAGTGTTTATTTTGCAAACTTTAATCACAGCCATAATATATCTTTGTATTTTAAGTGTTTTTCGGTATTTTTCGGTGTTTTTTGGTTTTTCGGTGTTTTTCCAACTCCATGCACCCCAAAACGAAAGTAGGTTGATTAGTATTAAAATAAATTGCATCATTTACTTATTTCTTAAACTGATAATGTGTTATTTTCTTAAATTGTACGAAATAAATACATACCATTATAAAATATATCGAAAGAAACGCATATTATCACAGAACATTCTTATCATCTTTTTCTGTTTTGTCAGACTGTCTATATCCTAACAGTTGAGGTAAACGTACACGTGATAAAACCTCAACACTTGAGGAAATACCGCTGTAAACTAAACCGCTGACGAATTAGCTGACGATATAGAGTAAATAGGAAACTGCTGACCAGTTAAATGAAAACTGCGGAAAAAAAATTTTACGTATCTAACCGGTTAGCACTTTTCATAATAAGTTTAATTGGTCAGCAGATTCTACCATATGTTTAACTGGTCAGAAGTTTCTCACACGTTGAATTTGCTGACCATTTAGAAAAAGAAGGAATTTGTGGCAAAAATCATTTACTACTATAAAAAATTTCTTCTATATTTTTTCGGGAAATGTAGAATCTGTTTTATTTACTTTTATTACAACATAAAAAAAAACAATTCACGACAACGCGTCACATTGCTTTATAAATCTAACTAAATGTCTTTCATTGCAGTAATACGTACTATGCTTATAATTATGATAATAAATAATTTTACATTTTACAAGTATCATTATTTAAAATTCAATAAGTTGACCTCATACATCTTATAAGTATGTTCATTTCTATCATAAAATATTAATGCCACAAGTGCAAGTAATACTGCAAAGACAGCAAAGGGAAAGCTCCGCACAAAACATTGCTTTTAGCTATGTATATGATATAAGATTATTATGATTGTGATTTTAAAAGAGCATTATTTTACATGGAAAGTGAAAGCAAACATTAATTATATTGCGCGATGAATGTTAGCGGAATTTTTGTAATCCCTTAAATTTTGTTACAACAGAATGGCCATTATGTTCACTCATTAATCATACGAAAGGTTTTGTGACGTTAACATAATTTATATAGTGTTGTTGTTGACTTTTTTATATTTATAAGGAAAAACACAGACATATTGAAAAGAAATGATTCCGATTTTTGAAATATGTATAAATACTAATCACGGTTCAGAACTGTTCACTATTTACGGGAGATAGTATGTAAGCAGACGGATAGCTCAATCGGTACAGCCGCAGTACTGTATTCCGAGGATACCGGCATATTTTTATAATCCTCCGTAATATTGAAATTTGACTTCGAATTTCTGATGGGTATAGAGAACAAAGTGAAATTAAACTCGGAGCTTATATGTATTGGGACTTCAACATATAGACATGATATACATGTATGTATAACGTCTCTCAAGTGCTGGGAGTTCAACGCCTATACAAGATATTTCTACAATGATATATGTATCATGCCCCTCAAGTGTTGGGATTTTAAGCCTAGACAATATATTTCTATAATGACCCTCAAGTGTTGGAAATTATATGTATAATGTCTCTTAAGTGTAGGGGTTTTTGTAATACACTATGTGTGTGTGCCTGTGTGTGTCAAATGAAGAGAAGGAATAATATCAATGCGTTGTAATATCATAGTGCATGGATTTCTTCTCAGTTTTTTATTAAATTGTTGTTGAAACGTTTTTTTTCTGGAGTAAGAGATATGCCGCAGATTGCCCTGATTAAAGAGGAAAAACAACAACAAAACAAACAACTCACACCCTTCAGCTACAAAAACTACAAAAAATCCCGTTTAAATTACCAGTGTGTCATGTAAATAATAAGATAGAATTGTACATACATGAACTAGTTCTTTATTTTGAATGTACTAAACTATCATCAGCAAACTTATATAGCGTTATAGACCGGCTTACGTGTTGAAACTTTCCACAGAAGAATTTTATTAACAGTTGACAATCATTGCCAATATAGTAGCTAACTATAATAAAATAAGCAATGTAAAATACTCATGCAAAACACACACATTATATGTAAAAATATCTACTGAATTCAGTTAAAGTCATTGTTTTAAATGTTGGTTCCATATTTGTTATATAAGTAACTCTAAGAAATAAAGAATTCGGTAATGCTGATTGTGATTTATCCATGTATCATCAAATATTATACAAAAACATTCATTTAATAACAAAATGTGAAACATTACACACAGTTATATATAATTCTGATTCATTGTTGTGACTTTAAGATATGTCTTGTCAAAATATGAATTTAAGAATACAAAGTGCAATACTTAATATGACAAAATACCATAGGCAATAACTCCAAAATTATGAAAAAAAAAAATAAATAAAAAAAGTTATTTTCCCTAATGAGAACTATCAATCTATAAGTTTCAAGTTTACACCCCTTATATTTCTTTTGTGTGCTCCTTAGAAAAAATGTGAAAAATCACAAAGGGTTAATACCTAAAAGAGTCATGGTTAAAACAGTGCACGATTTCCTTATTGATATTAATCATGCTTTGAAATTTTAGTTAAAACCTCTAATACTTTTTTGAATACATTAAGCTATTATAAAGTAAAAAAGGCAGTAAATCCAAAGTTATGGAATAAAAGAGTTTTGGTTCTTAGACACTCAATATTGCCAATATGTAATCTATCAATATATATAAAGCAAAAAAAATTCTATCTTTTCGAATTATGCCAAATACAAAAATATAAAAAAAATACATAAGGAAAAGAACTACTGTTTTTTTTTTATTTTATACTTTTGTAGTTATGCCCTATAAAATTAAGTAGGAAAATTAATAAAGAGTAAGTACTATAAAAATACCAGGTTTAACAATTCTTCTTTATATCTATCCATTGATGACTTTTCAAGTTGGTTTCTTTATTTCTTCTCGAATTATGTCCCATATAAATAATGCAGTGCAATAACTTGTGTAAGTTTTTGGCAAATGACTTTTTGCTAAGTTTTGTTTGCTCTAGCCGATTTGTGACGGACACCGGAAGGAGAGACAGACGGACATGCAAATATTCGGGGTATTTTGGCTTTTTCTTCGGCGTAATATATAATTTAGAAACATCCACAGGTGTGTTCATATGGCAGTTATCATAGAACCTTCAATGTAATCCTCAAGTTAAAGAAAGCGTATGCCATTAACAAGAAAACAATGGGAAGATGATAAAGCCAAATCTGAATGACATTGTATATTCCAAATTCTTTAACGGGGAATAATAAACGACGGTAAAAAATGAAGTCGTTTTAAATATCTACACGATGATCCACATGTAGCTATTAGATAATATTTTATAAGAAAAGAAATACAAAAAGAACAAACCGTAAATATTGCCATTAAATCTGTCATTTTATATGCCTCAGAATTGTTTGCTTTAAATCATCAATATTACAGGATCAAAGTTTTTTCTTCTAAGTGCACAAAACAAATATGAAAAATGCATGAAGATGTAAACGTCAGAGACAAGAACATTGAGACAACATCAAAAACATGACAAATAACTACCCTTTAAGTCTAAATATACTGTAAATATAAGTAGAAAACTATTATTAGTTAAGTTTTGCTTCTTATACTCATATTCTCATTCATGGTTTCTTTTTATCCAGCATTACTCTAACTTTTTCTCCGGAAGAATGCATTCCAACCGCAGCAAAAAGCTGTAAAAATCGATTTAATCGAATTGCCTTTTCTCCAACCTGTAGAAAAATAACAAAGATGAATAAGCTAGGTTTATGACGAATACAAAGCCAGATAATCATCATCATCAACAACAACAACAACAAAAGAGAACAAGATTCGGTTGAACCGAGTGATGCTCCCCGAGTAGGTTTTGGACACAGGAAAGTATACCTCTTGGATGTCAGAGTTATGTCCCTGAAAAAGTTCAAAGTGTACAAAGGAACAAAGGACAATAACTCCAAAATTAAGCAAGGCAGTTAAGGTTCTTTTGTGTTACACTTCTATTTAATAATATCAAACTACCTTCAAACCTCTTATGGTTTCAAAAGTATGTCTCGGACACAGTTCAAAGTGAAAAAATATAACTAATGGACAATAACTCCAAAATTAATCAAGGCAGAGTACAAGTTTTTTGCGCTTCATTTCTATTTAATGAAATCAATCTACCTACAAACCTCTAATGGTTTTAGAGCTATGTCTCGGACACAGTTCAAAGAGAAAAAACATAACAAAGGGCAATAACTCCAAAATAAGGCGAGGCAGGGTTATGGCACTTTTGCACTTCACTTATATTTAATGAGATCAATCTATCTATAAATTTTCATTTTGATATCTTTTATAATTTAAGAGTTTTGTCCCGGACAAAGTTTAAAGTGTAAAAATGAACAAAGGGCAATAATTCCAAAATAAGGCAAGGCATAGTTAAGTTTTTTTTGCATTGTTCTTCTATCCAATGATCTCTATCTACCTGCAGAGTTTCATGTTGATATCTCTTAAAGTTTTAGAGTTATGTCCGGGACAAGTTCAAAGTGTAAATATGAACAAAATGGAAATAATTCCAAATTAGGCAAAGCAGAGATATGTTCCTTAAGAACTGCGCTTTCACTTAATGAGATCTATCTACATACAAGTTTCATGTAGTTTTAGAGTTATGTCCCGCTCAAAGTTCAAAGTGCAAAAATAAACAAAGGACAATAACTCCAAAATTAGGCAAGATAGAGTTATTCTTCTTCAGCACTGTACTTTTCACAATGAGATATACCTACCTACAATTTCTCATGTTGATATCTCTTATAGTTTTAGAGTTATATTCCGGACAATCTTTAACGTGTAAAAATAAACAAAGGGCAATAACTCCAAAATAAGGCAAGATAGAGTAACGTACGATTCTTATGCACTGTCCATCTACTCAATGAGATATATCTACCCTCAAAGTTTCATGTTGATATCTCTTACAGTTTGAGAGTTATATGCCGCACAAAGTTCAAAGTGCAAAAATAAACAAAGGACAATAACTCCAAAATTAGGCAAGATAAAGGTATGCTTCTTCGGCACTGCACTTCCTCACAATGAGATATATCTACGTACAAAGTGTCATGTTGATATCTCTTATAGTTTTTGACTTATATTCCAGACAAAGTTCAAAGTGTAAAATAAACAAAGGGCAATAATTCCAAAATTGGGCAAGGCAAAGTAACTGTACTTGTGCACTGCACATCCACTCAATGAGATCTATCTAACTATAAAGTTTTATCTTGATATCTCTTATTGTTTTTAAGTTATGTCCCGACAAGAATAGCGGACGGACGGACGGACAAAGCGGCGACTATACGCTCACCCTTTGGGGAGCATAATGATAATGATATTATATAATGAAATTAATAATGATATTACTTTTAAATTCAGACCATGCTTATTGCAAATATAGAGACAGCACTAAATCTTACTATATCAAAGTCATTATCTTTATAACAAAAGTCAAAATGTTACATAGGTTCCCTACCTTTTTGCCGTTCCTGGTAAAAACAGCTGTAACAAGAGTAACACCCATCAACATAAATACATTTCGGTCTGCAGGACTAAAATGTAATTCAATGCATTCTGGTATTAATATATTTTAATGTCAACTTATATACATACATTGGTTATAGTTAAAAAATCTTGAAAAGTGGGGATTCCTCGACAACAGTACATTTTAAAGACGACAATTCTAGAGTATGTTTATGAGAGACAATTGAATTTGAAATAGGTTTACGTCCCTTGATTCGTAACTGTTATTTTAAAGTGTTGAAAACGATGGATACTCTCCAAGAGTAGCACACTAGGAGGAATAATTTGACAGTAAATGGCATTCAAGTTAGGAGCAGTCGAAATATCAATTCAAAATGCAAACTAGTTACACACGATTTCTGCACATATCAAACCCTCTTACTGTGTACTATAATTGAGAAAAAACGAAAAAATATTTAATAAACACACTAAAATGACAAAAGGTATCGTTCAATTAACCGACGTTACTTCTTTTCATTTCAGACAGGATTTTCTAGTGTTTACACAGCTGTTGAAATACGAAAGGTGGTGTTGGATTGAGATACGTAAGATGAGTCGTATGCTTTCAAGTGGCTACCTGTGACTAAAATGAGTACGCAAATGACGCCATTCCGCCCTTTTATTTAAAGTTTTATTGATAGATTACGATAAGATAATGTGTTCTCGTTATTTATTTTTGGACTATAAACTAGCTGCACCGTTAGAGACTTGCAGACCTGGCTGTCTTTTGACAATGAAGCGGAAATGAAAAAAAAAGATCAAAATTAAAGTATCGGGTTTGTTCAAGTTATAATTGTAAGACTCTTTTATTTGGATAAATGTTTTCGTCTTTAAATTAAAACAAACCTAGACATAAATTCTTGCACAGATATTTTTTTACCTTATGTCGGAATTAAATAGATAGCAGCCAATCTTGTCACCAACGAGACATTTTGGTCCAAATCTTTTGCCCTGGCCAAATTCGTGATAAAGACTGAAAGATACAACAGCACAAACATTATTATCATTATAAACACACAATAGAATATAAACCCGCAAAAACTGCAAAATTGCAGATGTTCAGCCTGTTTAAGGACGGTAGTGGTCTATAAATCTTTATTGTGACACTTTGGTGCAATGCCGAAATATCTAGATTAAGGAATGCGCGAGCACAATTTAAGAAAACAGTTAGCGGGGTAAAACAAAAGAGTCAGAGGTTATGAGGCATTGATCGGCTTTCCGCGACATATATGTAAAAACAACATATTATTTCAAAGGCAACAAAAGTACGCTGGCACTGCTTATATTTAATACATATAGAGATACTGCATATCAATGCAAAATTGTGTGTTACTATATGCTAGACTTGTAAATTGATGTCAAAAGAATATGTCCTTAAGTATACAGGGATAAAGACGCGTTAAAACCAGGTAATATCACATATACATGAATGACTTTACATTCGTTTATGTTAAAAAACCCTACATTGTTACAATGAGATCAAATGTCTTACTTGCCATCATCCGCATGATATCCTATTGACTTCTGTCCCCATCCCGGCTGCATATTGTCTGGGTAATTACTTGGTACCAAACCTATAGCTTATATAATAAACATGTGTAAAACAAATCATTATGGGTTTTCTGCATTGTCATTTTTCGCTGATAAACCCATAGGTCATTTTTACCTATTTGTTTCATTAATATTTTGGAAAAAGAGAATACTTGTATGTGAAATTATAAATTACATTTGATCGTTTAACACGTCAACTTCGAGATTTAAAGATTTTTTCGGTTTAATACAGTGTTTCTCATCTTTAGTTAATGTAAAAGCAAGCACTTAAATATTTTTTTCTAGCTAATCTTTAACTTTTCTTTGTAACAGAGGATTATGCACATAAATTCAAATATTTATTTATTTATCTTCATATTACCACGTCTAGTGTTTATAAAAAGTTGAAAAGAGATAAAGAATACGGTTTCTGTATGATATAAATGGGCCAATAAATTATGATCAGATCCTATATAACTTATTCTCATACCAATTGTTCCACGCCGGCCTAAACTTAATATCTCAATTTCGAAATATTTCCCATCCACCATTGCATTCTTGTCAACATACATTCCAACATCTCCGTCTCCATTGTCCACATAACTGCAATTATATTCGTTTTGTAATACTTTAATGCGACAAACATTTTTTCAATGCAGATAACGCATGATGCTAAGTATAATGATATCACTGTACGAGCAATTGATAGACCATAATTTCAATGTTTTGTTTTCCGAAAACATGATTATATTAATGTATTTGTATCATATAAAAAAATGTTTCATAATTTAATTGTCCAAAATATAATGATTTGATTATGACTAATTTTCCTAAAAGATATTTTATTTCTTTATAGAAATAAATATCTACTCAATTAATTAATATGATACCTGAGATATTGTCCCTCCACTTTAATATTTCTACATATCAACTGCCTGTCAAGCAACGGTTGTGGCTCAGCCTGCAAAATCATGATGTTTAATTCAATTAAGTTGTGGTGTAATCTATATCGAAAATTTAAACAAATATTTGTACTATTATATAAAAATTCCTTTTGCCGTTGCATGTTCATATGGGTATATATGCTTAAATATACCCGTATTCATTTTCAGTTGTTTACATGCATTAAACAATATCCCTTAAAGAAAAAGATAACACAAATATGAACATAATATTAACCCGTATTCGAGTTATTGAAAGGTAAAACATGATTTTCTCTGAAGAGAAAGTAACTAAGAGATGTTTATAACTGTAAAAACATAAAGAAAAAGATCTGCTTTGCACAATGGTGATATTTTTGACAGCCCTGATTAGATTTTGATCAGTTTCGTCGTTTACTGGGCTACAAAGTAACGGTCTTAATAAAACTACTGGAATATATGAAAGACTTTTAGTGTAGATCAACATTTCTTCGAACGTAACGTATGAAACGATACTTGATTAAAGGCAATCAAAGTTTAAAACGTACTCAACGGGAATTATTTGGGTTTTTTTTCATAATTTGGTTTGGAGACAAACCAAATATTAACAACTCAATATGCTATCGTTCTATCAAAACGTTTTGAAGCAAATGTAAAGTATACCAGAGAAATATTTGTGGTATAACTATATATGTTTAATGTGGTAACAAGAAAATCGAATTTTGATTAATAATTCACCGTGTATTTATGTTCTAGAAAACAAAAACAGATCAGTCATTTGACCTAAGCAGTATCCAACGGCAAACAATTATATGTGTGTTGTTATTTTAATGTGCATATCAAACATATGTTCAAACCTTTATTTCCACAAAAAGCCAATGTTCACTTACAGCTATAATTTGATGAATTCCTTTGAGTTCGAATTTTTAGAAACTATATCGAAATCCGCAGCACTGTTTCCACAACATTTTTAAAATTGTCTTTGTATACAAATAAGGTAAACTTATACGTTATTTGATATGTTGTTTTTATGATTGATTTTGGTATTTAATCATCTAAATTAAACAGTTTATGGTCAACTCTAGAGAACAATCGTATGCGTAGACCAACAATTTTAAAGGGATAAATTACCAGCAAAATTCATACGAAATATCTTATCCTGAGTTGTTACTGACCGGGCGTATTTTGAAATGCCAATTAAAATGATATATTATACGAACTCACCTTACTTGCTGAAAGTTTAAATGACTGCAACGTTTTGAAAGCTTGATCTTCTTTAACCTCTTGTTGATCTGAAATTTTAATTTTTAAAAGTATAAGAATATCATTAGGTGACAATTAAAGAGGTTGGGTACTTGCTCTGAAAGAAAATATCTATGTGTATAGATAATTATTATTAAAAAGAGTAACTGTTATATATTGATATAATGTTATATTAAGCAATGTAAAGAGGATCAAAATACGTATCAAAATATAAGCTTAAAAATGTCTAGAAACATTTTTCATTTATGTTGAGTATTTATTGCTTCAAAAATAGTACAACGCCATCAAGTACGTCTAATGTCATCAATAAAGCCCTTAATGAAAACAAGCGCCTTTCAATGATCTAATAAACAAAATGATAAAGCTGCGTTTTTCATGAACACAGACTGGAATAAAAAAAAAATCCGGAAACAAAGTGATCCCTCAGAAGTATTAATCACTGAGTCTGTACATGAGGAATACTGAGAAAGTGCAACATCCCTCACACCCCATAGCACAGGCTTGAGCGGTACTCACTTCTCAACACTTAATTATGTTGGCATCAATGTTCCCGAAAGACCAGAAAATATAGTTCATTTTTTCAACATTAAATGAAATATTAATGAAAATGAAATATACAAATCAGATTGAGCAGATTAAAAAAAAACAACAGAATTTATGTTCTTTCTTACGCACTAGAATTATGCAAAGCACAATTTAAAAACGATTTGTGCACTTAACAAATAAACTTAAGGTGTTTACTACACTCTCATATACAATAATCACGAGTTTTGTTACTATTTTCAAAAGAAGGGATCAAAATACTTTATCTTTTAAAATCAATAAATAGTCCTTTCTCTGTTTGTAAAAGGGTACAAATGTATTGTTAGAATAAATACACAGTTAGTCATAAAAATAAGTAAAACTTCTTGTAAATTGGGAACTTTATTACATGTCTCCAAGTTCTTAATGTCAATATTGCATGAGAAAAAACAAATTTGACAACTATATTTAATAATCAGTTGCTATGTCGTGTCGTTGATGAATATTAAGCATGAAGAAAAATGACAAAAAATAAACAAATAATATATTTCAACAAATTATATATTTCAACTTGTAATAGAGATAAATAATAAACAGAATCACCAAAGTACGCTCAAAACGGCAAAATCGAAACAGTTTCAGGCTACCGTCCACGCCCTGGCAAAACGGAACATTTAAACATTTAATGAATTATTTCCTTATGGATAAACATTAATAAAACATATAGTACTATTAAATTGCACATACTTTGCATAAAATGTAATATATCAATAGCTTTGAGATAAGCAGTAAAACATTTAAGTTGTGTTTTTATTACAAGTATACAAATTTAATAATTCTGCCATGCATAAAGAAATTAAAACACAATCTAACCAAGAGTGACAATTGAAGTAAAAAGAAATCTACTTGAGATAGAAAACGCTCAGATACAAGTACTGTATTCAAAATATATATCTTATAAGACGAGGAAGATAGTTCCATAGTGTACAGTCTTTGAAAGCAAATGCCTTTTCGCCAGACACCGTAACTCTTTATAATGTCACACCTTTTTGAAATCAAACATGAAAAGGTCTGACTGATATTTGTAAAATCAAGCTACGTTATAAACATGGTTTTTATTTAAAATAAAAACATTGATTCTTATTTACCTTTTACACCCTTCTCATTGTCTTTCTGAAGTTTCCCAAGTTGACCAATGCTTGCTAATGTTCCAGATAGCTTGGTATCTCTTTTGAACTCGTAACAGTCGATAATGTTTCTGGTTTTGATGTCATCAAGCTGTTTTCTCAGCTGATCCAGTCTAGGTTTTTTTGATACTGAACAAACAAAGAGCTGACTTGGACTCCTAACCTTTGACTTGAATAAATCAGACATATCATTGAGATCATTAATCAAGCTTTCAGTTTCGTCTGCTAACTTTGTCATACTCAAGTTATCTTTAGCTTTAATGCATTCGCCTTCCTTAAGCATACGATCTGATAAGTTGTTGACTTTTGAAATCATCTCCTCCCGGAACATATTAACTTCCTGTTTGAACTTTTCATTGATATCATCAATTTGAACTATATTGTTCTTAACAGAGGAAAGCACTTGCTCAGCTTCAACCTTGCATATTCCCGGTTCTTTAGTTAAAGACTTGAACTCTGCTGTGCCTTGAATTTCTTCAGCCTTATCAAGAATATAGTCTACCTTACATGACCTATGACCTATGACCATACAATCTCCGCAACCAACTTGCTTGTGCTGTGCACAATAAAACTTTACTGGTTCATTCAAGTGTTGCTCGCATTTCTCAAATTCACTTGAACTTTCTCTCCGTGTTATTTCCTCATTACAATCAATTAAAGTGTGATCTCGATTTAGCTTATACTTTTTGTGTGCATTAAAACAACTGGAACACATATATTCTTCACAGTCCGTACAAAATCCATCCGCTTGAGTAACGTTTTCACTTTCTTCACAAGGTTTGCAAGAAAAATGATATAATTCCCTCCTTCCTGGAACCTCCATGTCCGAAAAGTTACATGCAGTAGCAATGTGCTTACTAACTGTTGGCTAGATTATAATGCTCACATTAAGTGTTCGTTGTGTAAAGAACGAAATGTATTTAGGCGATAAACACTTAAACAGCATACTTTATACTGTGTTATTACTCACACGGTTTAACACACGATACAGTTTAAGATAACGACCAGATAAACATATTTTTATTGTATATTGTTAAATGACCAGCGATTGGTTAAAAAGAGGGAAAACCAAATATTAAATAAGATGTTAAGTACAAGAATTATTTAAGAACCTAAGACTTGATTTCTTTAAAAACGAGATTTTAGGATAGTCTATAGGGTATTTTTTTCCAAACACTTTCAATAATTTGGATATTTTGTGTGTATGTGTGTGTAAGTGACGGGGAATGAAGTTTATTGTTCATAAAATTTCTTAAGGGTGAAATCTCAAACGAGGTTTTTATTATTATATACGCTTATGAAAAATTCAATATACTTGTTCGGTTAAGTGGCAAAATAAGATAATTGCACGTGTTTGAAATAAAAGAAAACAAACTTGATTTCAAGACAATTCAATGAGATTTTTATCATGGTTAAAACTTTTTCAACATGCTGATTGTGTTTGTAAAATACCAACTAAACGGGTGAATGCGGTCATATTAGTTTAAATTATGAAAAGTTATCATAAAAAATAACTTCTATATACATGTTTTAGTTAAAAAACAAACAAAAATAGTTTTTTTACAATTATGATATAATGTTTGATGAAGCTTTTAACATTTCATTGTTTAAATTTGCATAGGCTGTTACATTGATAAAATTGTTTTCCGCTGAGCAAAGCATCTATAGTCATAATCGATAACTGATTTATATATTGATAAATTTTTTTTGGGTACTTTATTACTTATATTACGTATCAAAGCTGATTATTTCATTAAATGATTATACTTATTTTATGAGGTCTTCCTCCACCAGTAAAGCTGGAACGTCGCGATATGACATAGATACTGTGTCGATGTGACGTAAAACCCAATCAAACAAACATACTTATTTCATAATAAAAATACTCAGCATTTACATTGTTATAAGCACATTTATCGATCGTTACAGTTCTCTCCTATCAAAGGTGCTGGTCGCATTGATTTGACACTTAAAATATAATACACTGCCGGTATGACTATTCTAAATAAAGGTCAAACAACAAAATCGTTTGACATCATCAATAGACAATGTTATTTCTATATGTCGATTGATAGAAAAAAGTTATAAAAGTTATAAGTATTTGATTGTTCGAAAATTGTGTTAACATTGCAATGGGGCACAAAACATTAGAAAACATTAGAATAATGTTGACAAAACTACTAACATGCATTGTGCTTCCATCATATCATAAGTTATTACGGCTAATACAATGGTGTTGATAAAATCATAGGAACAATCGGAGTAAATAATAAACAATGTAGGTTTTGAAACTGCATTTATTTCCATTTCGTCTGTTGTTCTAAGAATATATAATATATCATTAATGGTTACAATAATTCCCTGCACTTTACACGCGTTAACTTCAAAATGATGCAAAGCATTAAATTCTACAAGAAATTACACTATATATGAACAATTTTATTTTATGTGAAGTGCATTGAGATACATTTTTAAAAACCTAAACACAATTGAATATATGTTTTTGATGAACATTGCATTAATGGCACATTATGCCTCAGATATCAATATTTTTTCAATTCTTTAGAAATGTCAAGTATGTGTTTAAAATGGATTTAGCGCACGTTAGATATTTTACAACTGATAAATGTAGTGCTGAACATGCAGTTATGTATCGTAAAGGAAGCAAAATGTAAACAAAGAAGTATTTGACTTCCGTTCAAAATGAGTATGCTTTTTGGAAAATGTAACAATATAACAAAAATAAACAGTATTTGAGATATAAAAAAGACAGCATTTTTGAGCCAAAATAGGCCTTTAACGATGATTCTCAAATTTGATTAAATTTAACGATTTTAACTTTTCCCCCTGGAGAAAGCATTCCAACAGCAGCATACAACTTATCATATGAATGTACCACCGCTTGACCAATCTGAAAATACAAAACATTCAATGAATATATATATATATATATACGAGCCGTGCCATGACAAAACCAACACAGTGCGTTTTCGAACAGCATGGAACCAGACCAGCCTGCGCATCCATGAAGTTTGATCAGGATCCATGACGTTCGCTATCAGTTTCTCTACTTGTAATAGGGTTTGTAGGCGAACAGCATGGATCCTGATCAAACTGCGCAAACGCACTAGGTTGGTTTTGTTATGGTGCGGCTCAATTATTAGTGTGTATATACTGTACAGTAACTTTTCTATCTATTTATAATTTCTGTTTCGATAGTATTGACTGTTTATATTAACTTAAGAGCCTTAGAGACGAAACATGTTTGGTATATTAAATATTATAGGAGTAAGTTGGATATAGTGGTAGAATCTTGAATGTCCCAAAAGGATGAACGTCTGTGTATAAATTGTTAATACAACATCAAAATCTGAATTTAAGCCTCGAATAGGACCACTGCATATTTATACAATTACTATTTGAAAAGTCCATATGACATAATTACATTTAAATATTGAGAAAAACCTTAATTTCTATGTTTAAATATAAAAAAGGTATCATAAGCAAGGTGGTTTTTCTAAGATTTGTTTACTGTTAAGGCGACACATTCATGATAGTTGATTAATTGAATACATCCATTTTCATATAATGAAGTTTCTTAGAGTACAAAAATGTAAAACAAACATAAATCAGATTGCAAAAAAGATGATAATAACAATATGGCTTAATTCAGTAAAAGATATTTTAAACAATACTGGTTTCCCCTATCTATTCTTGAATCAAGAAGATATCACTATAAAAAAATATCCACTTACGTATAAAGCAAGTGCTAGTAGATCAATTTATAACAGATTGGAATGGAAAATTACAAGCCTCAAACAAAGGAAAACTGCATCCGCGCAGTCTGATCAGGATCCATACTGTTCGCTTACAAACCTTAAAACAAGATACTGAGAAACTGATAGCGAACAGCATGGATCCTGATCAGACTGCGCGGATGCGCAGGCTGGTCTGGATCCATGCTCGTCGCAAACCCATTATGTTGGTTATGTCATGACGCGGCTCATATATACAGTCACTGATTTTTTCCTTTAATAGGTATGTAGCATTCTTTATGATTTTTGAATTTTGCAGGGGGAAATCAGTATTTGCTCGATCGCCAAATATTAAGATATTAATTATGCCGATGCTCAAATAAGCTAGACACAGTATATAATCCAAAGAGAGGGACCTTTTTTGGGAATTCAATCATCTATTTGATCCCACCGGATTGAATTTTAAGAGGGATTTCAGGATGTATCCACTATAAACTATGGGAAGTGGATACGATTACAGTGCAAAACGTAAGTCAAGCGGACATCAACTGAACAACGAAGACATATTAAAGCAAAACGTTTAATTTGTTTGTGATCTGTGATAAAGATACCTTTGTTCATTTTATGTGTGCGATAGAATTTTATCTTAGTCGTTATTGTCAATCTCTGCCCAAGCCAATGGTATGCCAGACAAAGGTCTTTCTGTTCAGAAATGACCTGGTAAAGAAATTCATGAAATTCATGACAAGGTCATTCTAAACAGGAAGAACTCTGTCCTAAACAAAAAGAACTCGTACTTCTATACTTACCAATCTCCAGTCAGGTATTTTGATAAATAACTATTATGTAAGTGCAGGTATATAATTACTGTTTTCTATACTACATAAATTTACCATTTAATTGTGATATACAGTAAATGATACTACTACTACTACTACTACTACTACTACTACTACTACTACTACTACTACTACTACTAATAATAATAATAATTATAATGATGATAATGATGACGATGATGATGATGATGATGATGATAATAATGATAATGATGATTATAATAAAATAATAATAATAAAAATAATAATAATAATAATAGACAATATAGATAATTAAGTTCACAGTTTTAGTAATAAGATGCATCAATATCATGCTCTTTTAAAGAAATGAAAACTAAACCATTATGTTATAAGCATAATGTCACTAACCTCTCTTCCATCTTTTGTAAATACAACAGAAAGATCGGGATTTGATCTGAAATACAATTAATTTGAAACGGAAACTTTATTTTCGGTCAGCATCAGTGCAACCATTAAAGGACATGCTTTACTTCGAACTGCATATATTCGGCTAACTTTCGTCCTTCAGATGTTTGTCCATTTAGATGAAAATGTAAAATCGGCATGAACATATATGTGTGTAATGTTTCCTGTACATACGATCCAATAATAACAAGCCAAATAGATGTGTAAAACAGAGAATGATGAAAGAAAATAAGTGTTTAATTTGACTTAAAATGATGTGAGGATTCTTGATTCTTACAAATGTAACATACATATATGTGGTACTTCAACTCTCTTCTAGAAAAAAAAACATTTTAAATACAGCCTGAAATCACTAATTTGTATTGTCTTCATTTAAATGAAGACCAAAATCAACCCTTTAACTAGCAATTCCAACTTACCCAACGATGGAACGTTCCGTTATTATAAATCCTATTCTTTCACCAACAAGAAATCGATGTTCATGTGGTTTTTCGCGTCTTTTTCCTCCGACCATTCTGAAAAAAAAATCTGTATTTTTCAAGTCGTAGTTTATATCAGGATCTTACTTAAATACATACACATGTTAATCAATGGATATCATTTCAATCGTACAGCGTTTTAAATACATTATACTTGTATTCATATCTACTACAATTTACAGTGATAAAGACAGTTATGACTAATAATTCCTGGTGTTTCGACTGGCAGTCAATAACAAGGAATATAAACCTCAATCAATCAGCAAAAAAAAAATCATTCAATGTTGCCTAAAATCGGCCATATGTTATTAGAAATAAATCATTAATGCTTTTACGGGAAATAAGATTCAAGCGGACCAATAAAAAACAACTTAAAGTACGTTCATTCTGTCAAAACTACAACAATGATTTAAAAGGTCGTTTGCTTAGCATTCCTATAAATATTTACACAAATGGTTCAAATGCTGAAAACTACGGTGACACGAAGAAAACATGTGTGTGTTTTTATCTATTGCGTGCGCATGAGGTCATTAAGTCGTGCGCAGGAGTTACCATGTCGTAAGCACGAGCTACTATGTCGTGCGCACGAGATACTATTCCGTGTGCACGATATAGTTTAGTCGTGCACACGAGTTTCGATGTCGTGCGCATGATATAATTAAGTCGAGAGCAAGAGTATCTATGCCGAGAGCACTAGTCACTTTGCACGAGTTACTATGGCGTTCGCACGAATTACTAAGTCTTGCGCACGAGATCAGATAGTCGTGCGTCCGAGTTACTATGTGGTACAAACGAGATAATTAAGTCGTGCGCACAAAATAAATAACCAATCTGATTACGCTTTACTTATATGAATTTTGTTAACTTAGAAAATTCCTTGTTTAAAGTTTTTAGATGCAACATTAATCGATTAAACTACTGAAACTTAATACATGGCTTTAGGATCATATTAGAAGGTCAATATCCAAGTCCCATAACTCAGACATAAATGTTGACTACGTTATGACCCTTTTTATGCCCTCACTTAAAAAATGTGGAGTATCGTGTTATAGGGTTGATCAGTACGTACGTACTAACGGCCTGTTATCCTTGTCCATACGATGACTTGAGAAGGAATAAGCCATGGTTAATTTTATTTGTTAGGGTCATTGCTAATGGCCAGTATATGACCCTATTGATGTTTGAGATCATAAGGTCAAAGGAAACCATGACTCTTTATGTAAAATCCTTGTCTGACGTTTATATCATCTTTTATATCACCCAGTTTTTACATGTAATGTGACTTATTATGAATATTGCTCTTGGCAAATAGATGACCCCTATTAATTTTGAGGTCAAAGGGTCAAAGGTCAATGTCACAGTGAAACTTAACATAAGTGTGTTTATAGCAGGCTGTGGCAGGCAGGTGAATTAGGGGCATTATTCTCATATCGCATTTTTGTAGTTAACTAAGGAACTATAATTAAAATGCTACGTAATACCAGTCTTCTAGTCTTCAAAACAATTGAAGGTATTCACTTGAATTCTAATACATGTCTTATACGACAAAGTAACTCATGCTAACGACATAGTAGCTCATGCTCTCGACATAACAACTCGTCCATAAGACTTAATTATCTCAAAATCGTGCTCATGACATAGTTATTCGTGCTTACGATAACGTAACACGTACGTACGACATAGTACTCGTGCGTTCGACATAGTAACTCGTGCACACGAGATTAATAAAAACATACACATGTCACCTCTGTTCCGCCATAGAAAACAGAAAAAGTGATCCATCGGAAGCATTAAAAGCAGCAAAATTATTTACATGGGACTTGGAGACTCAGTTCGATTTAGTCTGTACATGAGGGATAATAAAAAATGCAACATCCCTCACACCCCATAGCACCGACTTGAGCGGTAAACATTATAACAAAACCAGTTAGCATTCAGACATGGAAAAATGGATCATGTAGTTGTATAATTGACTTACAGTCCTACAGAAGCACTGTATCCTGCTGAATTCGCCTCCCATCCTGGCTGCTTATTCCCTGGGTAATTTGTCGGCACAACACCTAAAGCTTTTATGACATTAAAACAAGAACTATATCAAACCGTAAATATCTTTCAATATCCTTTTCTCATGCTTACCTATGACATACATGTTCAGTGAGATAAAATCATTAACATAAACTTCATATTCATTGTAAATGAGTGATATCACTTTTATCTACCTTTTTGTTTGTGTAGGTATTCATTTTAATATGATTATTTTAACTTTGCTCTTTATGGTATAATTCTCGATTCAAAAGTTAATATAACACTAAAATTGTGAAAGGTTAAATTGAAAAGATTAATATGAACTTAAATTACATTTGTTCGTGCAACGTTCTTGACTAACTTCCTTTTTGTTCATGCGTTTTTCCACTAAGTATGAAAGTATCAACATAATCAATCACGCTTCGAACTCGTAAAAATATTGCTACTATTTTACTTCTCAGTGATATATAGAGGATATTTGTTTGTTTGTGTGTAAGATGAAATTTTATTTCATCGTGTGGGCTTTAAAAACAGTATTCTCACGAGTGGCGTAGCCAGGAGTGAGCATACTGTTTTTAAAGTTCACAAGATGAAAAAAAAATTCATTTCACATAACAAATAAACACATTTCTTTTTATTTTAACAAGTTTAACGACATTTCCTTAATATTAACGTTAATATTAAAATCTGTGTTCCCCATTGAGAGCCTCATTTATTCGAATTTCTCATTAAATACAAGAAGTCTTGGGCTGAAAAATAAGTTCGACAATCAACGTTAAATGGCGGTGATATTATTCATTTTATTAAAAAAAATATGAATGATTGCTTGTTTTAATAATAAAAACAAACAATTCTTGTAGGAGAAAAAGGCCAACCATCCATCCATATTTCTGTTACTAACTGCAAATTTATATTAGACCTGGCTTTGTTAAATGTAAGCGGCCGCCATTTTTAAAAGTTGTGTATTTCACGGGAGGAGAATAATTGTGTTTGATTCATTCAGAGGGATATCATTTGGATTTGTTAGTAAAACACCTTTTTTTAAAAAAAGAAAACTCATTTAAGGATTGTAACAGACAATTAATAAGTGTTGACAGAAGTGTAAACATTCAAAAAGCGGCTTGGAAAGTTAAAAGGCTGCCTAACTAACGCTGGGTAGTTTACTTATTCTTCGAGCTGATGGTTGTTATTGCTTTTCAAATTTTCATAAAGCATACGGCAGTTATTGCTCGAGGGATACTTAAATATGCCCAAATGTCATCAAGAGCAGTTTTGCATGTGGAAGGAATGTATTTTTCAGACTGTAAAAATGAAACAAAAAAAAATACCAGACGATATTTGGTGATTGATAATTTGAATGAATAGAAGTAAGTTTTCTTCTTTTTATTACTTTTGACATTTAAGTTATTTATCAATTTCAGCTTTGCTTTTCTCTGAACAGCCTGACATTATCAGAATTGTCAGCAAAAATAAAATTGAGGTACCACATGGGGAAAATCTTAAGAAAGTAGTTTCGTCATTGAAAAGACAGAAATTATATTTTGATAATTTTCACGGATAAATCAGTAATCCACTGAAAAGCATAATATAAATAACATGTAATACCACATACCCTGCCGCTTTTGCGTCTCCGTAATAACGGTATTGCACGGTCGTACATATCTTATAATGTGACATCATTAAGGTTTCCAAAAATAAAAAAAAAAATTAAAAAAAGAAGAAAAAAGAAAGAAATAAGAATAAATAAATAAATAAATAAATAAATAAAGAAGCGATAAATATTATCGTTACACTATGCTTCTCAATATATCTTCGGGTAGGCATTCACATCGCGGAAAAGACCCAGGTTTAAGTTCAAGTCAACAACACACACGCGCACGTTACACTTTAGGCGCGTAAATGAAAACTTGTTCTTTTCCACTATAAACAAGTCTTTATTACGGGTTTGCGATAAATAGAATATTATATCTGTGTAGATTCATTTCTGAATTTATTGAATTCGTTAACTAATATAGCATTATGCTCTTTACAGTCTCGCTTCATATAAATTTATTCAACTCGTTCAATGAATTCAGTAATGAACCTACACTCATTAAATGTTCTCATTATAATTACTCCAAACAAACAAAATGCCTCTAAGAACATTTATTTTGTTTTTAGTTTATATAAACAGATAAACACATTGCTTTACCAATGGTCCCATCCTGCCCTAAACTCAATATCTCAACTTCAAATAAGCTTCCCAAACGTAGAGGAACTTTATGAACATACAATCCAACATCGCCTTTCCCATTGCCAGTGTACCTGCAATAAATGGCAATGGAATTACTGGCATACATACATGTTGTATAAGCTTTTTAATTAAATTGACTATTAATCTGTGGTAAATTTCTTGAATCATATGACTTTGAAATTAGTCCAGTTTGTTATGATAGTTACTGCAATCCGTCGTTCACAATAATATTTGTAACAAGATATTTTCATATCCTTTAGATGGTCTTCTGATATGTTCATACACAAACACCAGTTTATAAAGGACCATGTAACCTGTCAAAAATCTTTATAATTAAAAACATATGTTACTAATGGGAAGGTGACAAATTACTATTACTAGTATATTTTTACCCAAGCTCATGTTGAGCCAGAGGGGAGGTTAGGATCATATGCCATGCACGATGAATCGGACAAACATTTACTTTACGGTAAAGAAATCACTAATTTAAAAGATGTGTCTCAACGTAATAGAACAAAAGTATCAAGGGCTTTCATTTAAGTAGATGAACAGAATGTGCAGAGCCAGCGTTTAGTAAGGCTGTGATTGAATGCAGCTAAGTTTATATCTATGGACAGTTTATTTAAAATTACTAGTACATTCAGAATTTTTTCTCAAAAAGCAAATATTCCTATAAAGATCCACTATAAAAAATAAAATAAAAATAACACGACTTTTTTCCCAAAGTGTTGTCAGAATATACCTCTCACACGATCTTCACTATAATGTTTTAGCATTTTTTTCTGGTACAATGGTACTTTGAAAAGAAAAAGAACTAACTGTGCAGTAACCCGCACAATAAAATTAAATAAACTAAAATTGTCTTTTTCATTTTAAATGAAGAATAATTGCAAATTTGCGTTTCGCGAATAGAAAGGGATTTTGTTGCCAATCATATGATAATGCATACGTCTAGCATTCAATCAACTGTACATACACCAGAAGACACATGGTAATAGAATGTACAAATGTGATAAGTTCACATGAAAAAATAAGCTTGAAAACAATTTACTGAGCAGCACGGTTAACACTTATAACGAGCTTAATGTTACAAATGTGATTCAATTGCAAAATTTACTGTTTGCTTCATTTTGCACGTTGCGAGTGAGATTTTGTCACATCAGAATTCCGCACCATCAAGTTCAATACAAAAATTGTTTATTTGTGTTTCATTTGCATTGCTCATTTGAAATACCTGCTTAGAATGTGACCCAATTCGTAACAGGTGTTGCAATATGCGATCCGTTACGGGTGTGGTCCATCAGTTTTGAAAGTCATGTAAATCTAACTATCAATCTACATTTGAATATATAATAATAGATCGTTATATTGTGATTTTGATATAAACATACGTCAAACATGCTCCATTCACGGTAATATTTCTGCAAATCAATTGTCTGTCTTGCAAAGGTTGTGAAATCGACTGAAAAACGATAAAAAGAAGCAAATATCTGTGGAGTAAATGATACTATTCATCAAGGTAAATTACCTGATAACAATAGGTTCGAGTACATACTTTAATTTTAATATACTCAACTAACATGAAACGGCAAAACAAAAACTTTAAAAAAAGTAACAACATCACAACACAACAAAAAGCAACAACAACAACACAACAACAACAATAATAGTGAAGCACAGTATCCAAGACTAATTACAAAGTGTAATAAGTTATTACACGTTTTTATTGAACATTAATTTATTTTTGATATAATGTTTAGATAAGCTTATAAAAAATAGACACTCATATCTTTACACATGATATCGCTAATATCTGGAAACTTTTCTGAACTTACCTTTATTTGCGGAACTGGAACGGATGATTGCACAGATACTTTCTCTTTATGTCGGCCCATGTGGTCTTTAAATATAAAACAAGACAAATGGTTTCTGATCTTGAGATAAAAATGATGACAAGGATGATGATGATGATTATATTTGCTTTTTTTGTCAAGTGGTTCATTCCATTTTCTGTTGACCTTCAGCTCTGATGGGTTTAATTGTGTAAAACTGAGTGAAATTGTGGGAGCTTAAGAAACGTTAAAAAATTTCACAAAGGCCAATATGAACATTATATATATGCATAAAAGGAAAAGTACGTAGGAGCTAAATGTGAATATCTACTTGTAGTGAAAGATGGGGGTGGATCAAGCGGTCGTCACCAGCTGATTTGTAGCGTTTTCGTGGCGTTAAAAGCACGTCCTTTGTCACTCCTAGGAAGAGAAAATAAGCAAATATGCCGCCCTCTCAAGTTGGGACTTTTAGAAGGAACTGCTTGTATTTTGTGAACAGAATATTTTGAAAATTATTACAGTAGTATAGGGGCCTCTTTAGCCCCAAGACTGCGCATGCGCGGCGGCCATTTTGTTTTGTATAAATAGTAACTCATTTGCATAGAAGAAATGACCTCAGTACACATGCGTGGTGGCTACATTGAATAACAGAGACGCGGCGGCCATTTTGGATTCTATTTTAAAAATGACATAATTATGTTATAAACAGAAACATGAATAAAAATTATCTCTCGGAAGTATACAGAGCTGACTTGTATATACGATTTAGGGCGTGGTCGCGCACATTGAGGGTCAGGTGCTCAGCCCTAAATGAAGAGATGACCAATTATTACAGGGATAAAAGATTTATTTTATTATCAAAACTAATCAAGCAGTATAAGTAAATAAATTGTTGAACAATATTAGTGAAAAAAATAATTATAACATAGCAAAATAACTTACAGAAAAAAAGAACTATATACAAAATATATTTTAATATCGTATAGATTTATCCATACACGAATTGAATTTATATAAAAATGAACTATATTGATGCAAAAATAAATATATAAAACGATTTTTTTTTAAACTAAAACATTAAACAATGTATAAAATAAATACATTTTACCTGAAAATAGTACTTTTGTTGACGATGTTTCCTGCTAGACGTCCAGTTATAAAATGACTCCAATCATAAATGTAATTGTACTTATTGCGCATGCTCGGATCTGTTTTTACAAACGACATCATACGTTATATTTAGATCACGTCACGAGTGCACCGAACGTGATCATAGTCTCAGTATCTATCGTCTATTTATTTAAAAGCGGATGAGCAGACAATAAAAAGTTAACATGTCAAAGTTAATCTCCTGCGTATGTTCATTAAAGACCAGATGGTTTAACAATGGCCTATTCAACTGTTAAAGATAATCCCCTTAAAGTCGCCGCAATGTTTGGCGTGTGTTTATTTAGGGACGGATACACTAACAAAGGACTATTGAGATGCCAAAGTTAATCCCTTTAAAGTCGCAATTACGTCTAGCGTGTGTTGATTTAAGGACGGATGGGTTAACAATGCGCCATTGAGATGTCAAGTTAATCCCTGTGCGTGTATTAATATAGAACAGGAAGAGAGGCGTCCTAATGTCCAGGATGTGGTTTCCCCGACCTTCATTATACGAATGAAAATATTTTTCTTTTTATTTTATTGATATATTAACTCTTCAAAGTGACCACTAAATAGACTCAGTTGGATAAATTTTGACATTATGTATATAGAAAAAAACCCCGCCTTTTTGTCTTTTATGCAACACTTTACGATATCGATTTTCAAGATATTTTTTTCAATTGACATATCTGTTAGAATGCTTTGAAATAAACCTTAGTTTCTCGATTCGATTTTCACCCGTTCTCGAGTTATGGCCCTTGAGCGATTTTTAACACCAATTTTTCAAAGTCTATAAAACACTTAGGTTCATATACCATTGGAAAGATCTCGGTGTGTATATACAGAAGATGTATACTTTTATGGATCTATCTTTTACTGTTTCTGATATAGGTGAATTTCAATATTGCAGACAAAATCACTTATGCGTAAAATACGTATAACTTTTTCGTTTACGAACAAAACATAGGCATGTTGCATATCAAACGAACGGTCTTGACAAATGCTATCAGCTCGTACTGTCAAACCGGAGGTCTAATTACTCATGCGTAAAATACAACCTCACTCCTTCATTACTTGAGATAACCTAGTCATGTTGGATCTCTAACAAAAGGTCCTGACGAGCTTTATATGACTACAGACTCCAACCGGAAGTAAAGTCACTCATGCGTTAAAGACCATCAAGATAACAAAAATGAGCTTACCCCCAGTCTTTACTCCTTGCTCTCCTATTTAGGAATGACAGAGGCCATGTACAAAAATGACTTTTAAACCATTTTTATTTTGCAATCTGATTAGTTAAAGCTATACGTGGCGGTGATTGGCAACCAGTGTCACTTAGTGATTATGAGTGTAATTCTTGTAGTCACCGCCACCACCGCCGCCACCACCGCCGCCGCCACCGCCACCATCACCATAACATGTGTACTGAGGTCATTTCTTCTATGCAAATGAGTTACAATTTACAGAAAACAAAATGGCAGCCGCGCAAGCGCAGTCTTGGGGCTAAAGAGGCCCATATACTACTTATTACATACATTCATATTTTATATAGGTACGATTGCATACTAACTTCTGTGAAGACTTTTTATGCTTGCTGCATGAAAGGTGTTATGTAAAATGAACAAAAATGTCATCAGATATTTTATTTCTTTAAACATTTTCATGGAATGTAATAAATCATGGATTTATTTGTAAAACAAATCCGTGAATAAATGTTTCCTAATATTAAAGTTGTATGCCTTCAGATGAGAAAAATGATTTCAAGAAAAGAACAATGCCCGACCAATTTACTGCTTTAAAACATAAACACAAAATTATACATCTTCCACTGAACAGACAATATGAAAATCTTGAAAACCCACAGAATTAGAAATATAAACAATAAAAACCCGTTTTTGCTCGAGTATTTCTTTGTTTTCTGGACATCAGTTTAAAAAAAACATAGCTAAAATCGACACGATCTTTTTTTTTAACTTACAGAGCATTAAAAACCATTCTTACCCTATGAGCATATTAAAAAATGGCCATTTTCATTGAAAAGTATCCTGTTACAAGTTCCAACTGCTCTAAAACTATGAAAAATGCTTCAATACTGATGAAACTTGGCACATATGTTGACTAAACAATAACCTCTGACAACATGCTCAATCTTAAATTTCCTGTTACCATGGCAACGGGGAACGTCTCAAAATTGCGAAAAATAACTATTTTGCATTAATTTTTTCCATCAAAACTGATTTCAAAGTGCTGCAACTTCTCAATGCAATGAGATAGAGTAAAAGGCTTTTCAGCGTTGGTTACACGTCACCTTTAGATCAACTTGAGGCCATTTTTAGCCAGTCACATGTCCAAAATTTTCTTGGCGATGAGGGGGACTACAACCCCCTTAAAACCCCTAAGCAGAAGGGTAGAAGGGGGCACTTCCCCCTTCTGGCAACCCCCTGATGTATCATTTTGATGGGGGATGCGTTAACAACATTTCTTAAACGAAAAACAGTGTTTGGGGCCTAAATAGGGCATTTTTTCAATGTTTGTGGCCTCAAAAAGTGGGGGGTGGGGAGGGACAAAAAGGCGTCAAAATACGTCTATATGAGGGAAAAGGTTAAAAGTAGAGTTTCATTGAAAATCATAGTCACAGATTGATTTGTGAAATTATTACATATTTACAAAAACATCATTTTTTGTTATCGATCGACCCAATAAAACCTAAAAGATACGGTTTGTAAATATTTATTACAAATAAATATAAAAAGGTAATTCCTATCCTATACAACGTGCCCATACTAGCTATATTTATAATTCCCGCGTAAAGTCGCGGTGGTGCTTGGGATAATCACGTGATACTGTAACACAATACGAAAATGCCTAGTCCTCCTCAGAGAGTTTCTTCTGCCGAAATGAAATTAATACTTGCAATGCAAAGTTTGTTTGCTACATAAAGATTATCGATTTACTAATTGTAAACCTTTTCTCTGCCCGACTATGTTGTTGTTTTGTCATTGGCTGAAACCATCACGTGATGAATACACATTAAGGTGTGAACTAGATTCATGGTCATTAAAATTATGCCTTTACAATCCCAGAATCATTAAAAATTGAAATCATCGAAAAATAATAAATGCATATAAATTGTAAATTTCTGTAATATGACAACTCACCCCCTAAACAAAACATAGTAGACTCAACCAAAACAAGCTTCTGCTTCTTTACCTAATTATGTAGTTGCATGACCATGATTTGCAAATCAAATTTAAGAGCTAAAGCTATTGTAAAAACATTACTATGACCACAGCGGATTTCGTACAGAAAATGTACAGCAACAAGGCACTTAAAAACTTAATTAGGTGATGATATTCTTTTATTTTGTTTCAATCCATAATTGGTCGACAGGCATTGCTTTCTTTTTTCTGATAAATTTCTTACCTGTTTGATTTCCCTCCGTCGTCTTCCTTATAAAGCCAAATTCTCCGGTACCTTTTGTTACGCTCATAAGGTTTAACTTATTATTTCTTATAAACCTATAATCCTCAATTCTATTTCTTCTCTTGATGTCATCTAGTTGTTCTTTCAAGCGCTTAAGCTTATGTTTTTGTAACACTGAGCAAACAAAAAGCTGATTAGGCTTTTCTAACTTTGCCTCAACTAGCTTGGATAGGCAATTTAATTCATCCACATGAGTTTCTGTTTCGACTGCTAAATTATCCATACACAAAATGTTCGTTTCCATTAAAGCGTGGCTGTCTCCAACTATTAGGTGCGAAACCTTTTTGACATGAGAAATTATTTCTTCTCTAAAACTGTTAACATCTTGTTTGAATTTTTCACTGATATCAAAAGCTTTAATTTTGTTATGCTCGATTGATGCCATTAGTTGTTTTGCTTCCTTTTGATACATTGCAGGTCCTTTGATAAAGGCTTGACACTCGCTACTGTCTTTAAATGCTTTAGCCTTGTCCTCAATGTACTCGACATTGCAAGTTTTGTGCTCAAGAATCATGCAATCCCCACAGCCAACTTGCTCGTGTTCTACGCAATAAAACCTTACGATCTCACTTCGGTGTTTTTCACATTTTTCTAAATCATCATTGCGTGGCCACTTTGTATGAACCTCGTCAGAACCAGCCAGAGTATGACCTCGATTTAGCTTAAATTTTTTATGTGCTTCAAAACAACGAGTACACATATACTCTTCACAGTCAGTACAAAATCCATCCGCTTGAGACAATAGTTCATTTTCTTCACAAGGTTTACAAGAAAACCCATCGATTTCATTAAAATCCTTTTTTCCTGTTACCTCCATATCTAAATCATAACCGTTATTTTTTAAACTATAAAGTTCACAAACCACGCTTGTTACGCTTGTGGCAAGTAACATTTCCGAAAATGAGTGAGCCTCATTTTACAAGGGGAGGTTTACATCCGTTTTATGAAGAAGCAAGTTATGTTGTGTTATATGGTATACTTTCTAGTCACGTGGGTTAAACTCAGTGTAGACTTGTCTCCTTGATGCTTTAACATGTTAACATATGCTCAAGTACTTAGAATAAAACTTATATATATATATTCAATAGAGCTATGGTAATAACTGACCATCGGTCATTCAGATAATAGGACAAGTTTGGCCGATATGATAATTAAAAAAAACTTGCCCACATTCCATCTCCAATTTACAACAAAAATAAAAAATAGGGTCGCCACGTGTTATATCAACTCAGATTTTAACACAAGAAGTAAACACATGTTACAGAAGTAACGCCTAGATTTATATTTATTCACCAACTTTATACTTTTTACACTTAGTCTATCATAAATGAATTGTTTTTTGGACATTTTTCAAATGTGTTTAATCTTATGCTAACGCCGCGAATGTTGCCATTTTAAAAAGACATATCTAAAACAGGAAGGGCCTGATATGATTACATAAATGTAAACGACTTTGTATAGACCTATAATTCAAATAGCCTAAGAGGACACTTTTCAATTTCCGTAAATTACACAATAGCTGAAGCGCGCAGCTGGGCCTATGTCTATTAATGCGTGTATGCATATCAGTATGCATAAATGTACGACATAAGTACTCAATTATGTTTATTGTGTGTATATTAAATTCAGTACAGTATTTACAAAGTAAAAAATGAAATTATCTTTTAAAAACCTGTTTTAATATCTATATGTTTGATATTCTATTGTAAAATATATTGTACACATTTGTTTGCAAAATTACACATTTCATGTTATATATATTTTTGTTTTAACTCCGCACAACAAATTGTTTAAAAGTGGATTTGCCCGGTTTTTTCCGAATATTACTGTACAAGTTATACATAAATCTAAAAGAACTGCAGTTCCTAAAAACAGTAACTCCGTAACTTTATAAAATATATTAAATTGTTGCCATTTCTAAATTTTCATAGTTTATACTTGTCCAGAGCAAAGGTGCATAATCCGTAGATAATATGAGGTAGCAACATGAAACTCCATAGGTGGATACATAAGATCAAGGAGTAGAGGAGTGTTTGAGAATTGTATTTTTATTTTGATAATTCAAATGGTAGGATAATACGTCATCGCGCACTTCAAGATTCTCCCAACCGGACGGTAATCCCGTCGACTTGAAGATAAAATATGTTTTATTATAAGAAATTGTAAACATATCAAAAAATGATGTATTGCACCAAAGACTGGCTTTAGAACTTTATATAAATGTAACAAACGTTTACAATTTTACTATCTTATTTAAGTCTTAAAACAGGATAAATTTTGTTTTGAACACCGAATGAGAACATTTAGGGGTAAAACAAACTTAAATCTGTTTTCAGACCTAAACTAGGCAGTATTTTTAAAAAAAAAAGTTATATGTTTGTCAGTATTTCAAGTTTAAGTAATGCATTTCTTCATGTCAAATAACATGTTCTCTAGCTTTTCTTCTGACAAAACGGTATGCAGGAGATATTTACATCGAGATAGTGACGGGCAGTTCTAGTTACAATAGCATGTAGTGTGGACTTGTTTTGTTGGACCAACATATGAAACGATTGTTCATTGAATGCAATACCCTCTTAAAGTTTTAATTTTTTTTTCTAATCATGTATTCGCGTTATCCGTGACTTTACAAGAATTTATGCTTTCAAAACATTATATTCGTTCAATTTCTTAAAACAACACAAACTCTGCATAAATATTGTTAGAAATAGGTAAACTGTGAGCTGCGGAAATCTAACATGCTTTACGTCTTTGTGTGAGACATATTTTCAATATTTCAAAAAAAAAAAAAAAAAAAATGCAGGCGACAAAATTTTGTCATATGAATTCGCGAACGCAATTACAATGTATTTGGTAATGTTTTCGAACTAGTAACATGTGTTTTCTTATCTGCTTTATTTTCATACCTTTTATCATGAGCAGAGATTACTTATGATAAGTTGTGTGAATTAATCATCATCATCATCATAGTCATCATCATCATCATCGTCATCATCATAACATAGTACATATGATTCATCCCCATAACTTGTCATAGTCAATACTATAAAAATAGACATTTTATTCACTGCTAACATAATATATCTGTTATAATGGATACGTAAGGAAGTATATCTCAGACAAATCACCAAAAGAATCAACGTTGAACATTTTGCCAAGTTTTATACATTCACACAAGAATAACAAGTTAGAAAGAAAGTGGAAACAAATTGGCGTATCTGCCGTTGACCACGGTCATATAGAACCTAACGTAAATGGCGATTACGTCCCTTTAACAGTCGATATCTTAATAAAAAGGCTAATGACGCTGATACAAAAGTCACTATCTGCTGCGCTCTGATTCTATTTCGATCTTCTGCAAAATGTCTTTCGATATGACAAATCAGCAGCACGTTTTAAGGGACTTACTTTCTGTGAAGAAATGACCACCGGTAACCTTTAATGCTGTAATATTTCGTACATTTATATATCACCGGTACCAAAGGGCGTAGGAGGTGTATATACTGAACTTTTTCTAGACACAATTCCCTGTTCATCTAACGGGGCTCTTATTTCATGAAATGAAACAGTATATTACGTTTCTGATTTCTTTACCAGAGACGGAGGTTTTTTTTTCATTTTTTTTTACATTTGTATTTTTGTTTTATATCAACTGTATGAATTAAGATAAAAAAACTACTCTGAATATTCGTGCACATTTCGTTATGAAATTTACTATTTGGGATATTCATGTTTGCTTCAAAACGTTCGCAACGGTTTTGGCATGTCATATCCTCTTACATTCTCGTTTGACCGGCAAGTTGGTTTGTATGCAAAATCAAAGTAAAATACATATCTACTTCCGAAAATGCTTAGAACTTGACCTATCCTTGAAATTAGAGAACATTCGTGCATAACGATTCTCTGTAGTTTGCAAACGCATGTCAGCAGCGTAGAGCTCATAATTCCCTTTCGGACAACGTCTCGTACAACGTGACGTGTGCAGTAAGCCACAAACTTTACGATGAACTGACTTTGTTAGTGATCGCACTGGACTTACATTTCAATGCAATATTGAATATTTGGCTATTCCTGGCCTTTTTTGCCGAAACATATGTTTTACTCAGACTTATAAATATACACGAAATAGCTCACTTTTTGTGACAATGATTTGTGCCCGATTGCAATGAATTGCAGTCATGCTTAACCCATTACTTCATGAGCATTTTGTGAAAAATGGCTGTTTTCATTTACAAGTTCAAATTAGTATAAAACGGCCTTTGTAACGACATGTTCAGTTTTAAATTTCCTGTTACCATGGCAACAAGGGGACATTCCAAAAATTGGCAAAAAAATCGCTATTTTGCGTTGATTTTTTCCATTTCAAAATTGATTTCACCGGTAACCGTAATGCTGTAATATCTCGTACATTTATATATCACCGGTCACCAAAGGGCGTAGGAGGTGTATATACTGGACTTTTTCTAGAAACAATTCCCTGTTCATCTAACGGGGCTCTTATTTCATGAAATGAAACAGTATATTACGTTTCTGATTTCTTTACCAGAGACGGAGGTTTTTTTTTTTCATTTTTTTACATTTGTATTTTTTTTATAACAACTGTATGAATTAAGATAAAAAACTACTCTGAATATTCGTGCACATTTCGTTATGAAATTTACTATTTTGGATATTCATGTTTGCTTCAAAACGTTCGCAACGGTTTTGGCATGTCATATCCTCTTACATTCTCGTTTGACCGGCAAGTTGGTTTGTATGCAAAATCAAAGTAAAATACATATCTACTACCGAAAATGCTTAGAACTTGACCTATCCTTGAAGTTAGAGAACATTCGTGCATATCGGTTCTCTGTAGTTTGCAAACGCATGTCAGCAGCGTAGAGCTCATAATTCCCTTTCGGACAACGTCTCGTACAACGTGACGTGTGCATTAAGCCACAAACTTTACGATGAACTGACTTTGTTAGTGATCGCACTGGACTTACATTTCAATGCCATATTGAATATTTGGCTATTCCTGGCCTTTTTTGCCGAAACAGATGTTTTACTCAGACTTATAAATATACACGAAATAGCTCACTTTTTGTGACAATGATTTGTGCCCGATTGCAATGAATTGCAGTCATGCTTAACCCATTACTTCATGAGCATTTTGTGAAAAATGGCTGTTTTCATTTACAAGTTCAAATTAGTATAAAACGGCCTTTGTAACGACATGTTCAGTTTTAAATTTCCTGTTACCATGGCAACAAGGGGACATTCCAAAAATTGGCAAAAAATCGCTATTTTGCGTTGATTTTTTCCATCAAAATTGATTTCAAGGTGCTGCAATTTCTCAATGGATTGATATGGAGTCAAAGGCTTTTCAGCGTTGGTTATACGTTACCTTATGATCGACCAGGGGTCATTTTAAGCCTCTAACAAGTCCAAAAATTTTCTTGGCGATGAGGGGGACTACCGCCCCCCTTCAAACCCCCCAAACAGAAGGGGGCACATCCCCCTTCTGGCAACCCCCTGGAGTTTCTTTTAAATAAGGGGCGGCGCCAAAAAAGTGGTCACTTTTTAAAGCAACATTTCTCAAACACAACAAGTATATAATGGGGGCGTAAATAGTGGTCAGATTTCCACCAATTGAGACAGCAAAAAGGGCGGTGGGGTGAAAAAGGCGTTAAAAGGCTTGTGTATCTGGTAATGGGTTAAAGCAGAAGACCTTAGCTGTTATGCAAAACAAAACATATAATTTTCGGCGCACCATTTCTGCTACAGTGATCATTGTTTCAGAACCATTAGTAGCCGTTCCTTGCAAAAATGTTCGCATCTAAATTTACCTTGAAATACACACGAAAACGCGAACATTTATAAGATACACTTTGTGACATTTATTTTCTCTCGATTGCAATCAATCGCATATATTCTTAACGCAGGGGTATTAACTTTCTAACAAGACTTGTTATATAATAATCGCTGAATTATT